GGCTTACGGCGGGCGTGACCGGTCAAAAGGGGATGCTAACTTCTCCTGGGCACTTGATCCCATCTGGAATTTCCAGGGGTCCGTTTTTTACGCTTAGTACGCAAATTTGCATTATTTGTAGATTTTTATGAGATTGCTCACTGTTTGCTATCTTCACCATGTCATTGATTTCTTTGTGAATGAGCTGAAAAATACAAATTATATAACAGCTCTAACTAGTCTCTGGCCGCTTTCTAAATACCTGTGGAAGAACAAAGAGAAAATATTCCTATTGCTCTGTATAGAACAGTAAATATCTTGAGGATTTCTCTCATAAGTTTTTTTGAAGAAGTAATAATTAATAAGGATAATTACAGCATAAAATATCAAACAATAAGTAAAAAAAAAAAAAAAAAAAAAAAAAAAAAAAAAAAAAAAAAAAAAAAAAAAGAGATTTAAATGATGGAAAGAGGCAGGTCTTAAAATTCTAATCATAAAGTGCAAAATGCGAAATGTTCTTATTCTGCTGACAATGAGTAAATGTGCAATGAGAGTAAAAATTGTACAAAAATTAAATATTAAGTAAATAATCAGAATAAAATGAAGAAAAATATGTTTTATAAAAAAAATTAAAAGCTTTTTTTTCAAATGGACTTTAATTAAACTGGTCCGCAAATAAATGTTTAATAGTGACTTCTTGGTAAGAAATTCTGGTCCTTGTTCATCTGTTTCGCGATTGAATTAATAATTTGGAGTGTATTATTATTTTGTGTTTTAGGTCAGGGTTTTCAAAATTGTCTGATTTGCATTTCTACATTTTGATCTTAGATCATTGAAATTGTGGATGAAATATGAAGCTAACAAACACTAAACAATCAATTAAGTCCCAGAGCAAACATGGACCTCTAAAAACATCAGAGGTGGGATCAGTTGCCGTGGAGGAGTAAGCATCCCCTGTCGTCCGGTCACACCCGCCGTGTGCTCGTTGTCATGATCGGGCAAACAGAAAAATCCGTAGACAATTCAGTGATTTATAATGGCCTAACAATTAGTATTACAAACGTCAGTCAGCATCATTCGATTTAATGATAGATTGTATTTGCTGACAAGGTCATTGTATCGACCATAGAACTAACGAAATGATGACGTTAACCTCTAAATCATTTTGAAAAAGAATGGCCGCAAAATTTAAAAAGTAGGTCATCGTGACCTTCTTTTGAGTCAATATGATGTAAGGCCCCTAGATGCATCAATTGACAAGATTTGATGATCCTAGTCCTTATAGCAAGCAAAACATCAACATTTTAATAAATTGTAATTTTTCGTCAACTTTGAAGTGATCTTGAGACCACGCCCTTTGCCCAAGGGTGATGCCTTGAACAATTTTTAAACATAAACCCCATATGCAGGGGATAAGGGTATGTTGCTACATAAGTAAAGGAAGTTTTATCATGTTCCTCTACGTGGCCTCAATGAAATCGAATGAAAATTATGGTTCACATTTGTTTTTCTTAACAATACTAATGTAAAATGATTAAAAATATTTGGAAGAAGGTTGATATTGTATACATGTACAAAGCTCACATGTAAGTTTTTTTTTTTTTTTTTTTTTTTTTTTTTTTTTTTTTTTTTAAATTATTGGGACGATAAGCTTCCCATTTTTGAGACTGTGACTTTTTCGAAATGTCCAAATCTTTTTTTTTTTTTTTTTTTTTTTTTTTACTTCTCAAATATAAACATTGTTAAAAGAAATTCTTTCTAGAAAACATTAACTTTGTTGTTGACGACAGGAAGTTTTATAATTCATCTGACCTGCATTCATAACTTAAATGTAAATTTAGTTAGCAGAATTATGTATTTTATACGGAAGCCGGTAGGTGCCAGGTAGAAAAATATTTTATCTGGCGGCCGCCAGATAAGTTTCTGGCGGCCGCCAAATAATTATCTGGCGGCCGCCAGATAAATAACTGGCGGCCGCCAGAAACCTATCTGGCGGCCGCCATATAATTTTCTGGCGGCCGCCAGATAAAAAGATCTGGCGGCCGCCAGATAACTTATCTGGCGGCCGCCAGAAATTATCTGGCGGCCGCCAAATAATTATCTGGCGGCCGCCAGATAACTTTCTGGCGGCCGCCAGATAACTTATCTGGCGGCCGCCACATAATTTCTGGCGGCCGCCAGATAATTATATGGCGGCCGCCAAATAACTTTATGGCGGCCGCCAGATAAAGTATTTGGCGGCCGCCAGATAAGTTTCTGGCGGCCGCCAGTTATTTATGTGGCGGCCGCCAGATAATTATTTGGCGGCCGCCAAATAATTTTCTGGCGGCCGCCAGATAAAATATTTTTTCTACCTGGCACCAACCGGCTTCCTTAATTTTATACCAAATGCCAGTGAATATTATGTCACATATGTTTGAAAACAAATTTTTGTCACTTGATTGATCTTTTTTTTTTTATTCCCGAGTGTCACCAAGCTAGGTGAATCAACGCTAAATTATTTTAGTTAAATCAGATTTGCTGTGTTCAAAGATTACTACATGATTACATTGACACACACATACATAGATAAATAGGTTACACAGGACGATTACTTAATGTACTAATCTTAATTTAGTCACCACGTAAAGTACATTAACCAAAAAAGTGCATCTTCAACTACAAATACAATTTCAACTATTTTCTAATAAACCATATCAAAGAAGATTTTGCTGTGCTGGCGCCTATGATTAATTAATGCAGCGATAAATATAATTTTGAAGTTAATTATACAAATAGACCTATTAATTCTTTGAATCCTACTTGTTTGTTTTTCTTAAACGGCAATATATACTCTTTATTCAACATTACGAAGAGGGTTAATTAAGTTAATTATAACTACAACCTGTCAAAATTTCCACATTGTTTATAATTGACCTTATTTTATTAATAAAACCAAAACGTTGACACTGAAATAACATCTCTGACAAAAATTAATTTTGCATTCAGTTAACATCATTTCAGCAGTCTGCCTTTAATGACAAATCAAATGTTCTAATTATGTATTTATCTAAATTTAGTTGCTTCGAAATTCGTCCTTTTGAATGATTTTGAATGAATTTTTACATTGTGTGCAATGATGATCATTTTAGTAATTGAAAGGAAATATGAAGATAACGAACATTAATCAAGCTCAAAAGTCCATTGGAACGATACAGATGAGCAAACACAGACCTCTCAAAATATCAGAAGTGGGATTAAGTACAATGGAGGAGTAAACATCCTTGTCAAAAGGTCATGATCACATCCACTGTGTGCTGCTTATTTTAAAGTATAAATAAATACATAACATGTATTCTCAATTTATTTCTTTTTTTTAAAGTTTTCTCTCCAAAGTTTAACCAGTTAACATATACATGTACATTTTGTAATTTGCAAGTTAAATCATCATGCCTTTTATAATACCAATCCAGAAGAGCCAGAGTAAAAAGTCACATTGTTCATAAAACTATTTATTTGCTTCATTAAAATCTCTATTATGAAGTAGTTACCATAATTCAGGTGTCTTATGTCATTTCTGATTCCTTCTACATGTCTGGCATGTATGTACTTGTATGTATACAGCCAATTGAATATTTCTATCAATAATTACTAGTTTTTCTAACCCTCATAATTCTCCAATATCACTCGAACCATTCATTTGAGCAAAATGTTCAAGCACTTTACAATATATTGCTATTAGTATGACAAGCTTTTTAGAAAGCTGTTCATTTTGGAGAGATATTAGAATTCCAATTGCTAAGACATTCCATGCTCTAGCTCCCTTTGATATTGTATAAAGTGTCAGGATATTTCAGGGTTATTGATATTTCTTCTGTAAGAAATAAGACTTACTGATCTGATATAAAACATTAATTGCATGGTACATGTAATTTCTTCCCTCAAAAAGTCTTAAAAAGTCAAGAAAAGGAAACTCACGCAAACAACCTCTATTCTCTTTTAAAGGTGCTTGGACACAGATTTGAAGTTAATATTTTCTCAAATTTTCTGTATAATTTCATGACTTATATGTTACTATAGCATTTCATACTAAAATATAATAAAAATCTGGTTTCATCTCGAAGTTATTAAAACTTCGAATTTCTGGACGCGTTGGATTGACACATCCTTGCGCTTTCACATATTTCAATTTTATTCTTAATTCTTAAGAAAAGTTTCAATTTTGTTGTGTATTAATGAAAAATATTAAAACTTTAACCCAGAAAATTCAGAGTAGAAATTGTCGAAAGCAAAACCCACTCACAGTATTGGAAGTCCATGCTCAGTGGTGTGTGCAGAGTTTAACAATTGAACACACCCGATGAATCGTAAACATTAACAATAACAGAGCTCGTGCCCTGTTACAAAAACAGTTTACGTTTCACGGGTGTGTTGAATTTGTTAAACTCTGTACACATCACAGAGCACGGACTGACAATACTGGTAAGATGGTTTTGCTTTCGAACATTTCTACTCCGAATTTTCTGGATTATAGATGTAATATTTTTCATTAATACATAACAAAATCGCTTCTTTTCTTAAATATTGAGGATAAAGTTAAAATTTGTTTAAGTGCAAAGATGTGTTAATCAAACGCGTCCCGGAATTCATAGTTCCAATAATTTCCAGATAAAATAAGTTTTTAATTATATTTTCGTGTGAAATGCTATTGCAATATATAAGTCGTGATAGTATTATACAGAAAAATTGAGAAAATATTAAGTTCAAATCTGTGTCTAAGCACCTTTAATCCAACAAATAAATGTGTGTTATACTGTATGTGTACTAAAAATAGTGGGCTTCATATTTTAGCAGCTTTGGCGTGGACAACGATGCGTTAATTCATGAATACCGCTAATAAACCATTTATAAATACAAGATATGGTGCGTTTGTGTAGCCCTAAATCATGAATATGCCAACAACTCAATACCAAGTGATTGCGCTAAATTTTAAATGCGCCAATTTATGTACATGTACAGTATCTGTAAGAGAAAATCGAATAAAAATGAAAGGTTTTCTTTACTAGATATATGTTCAAATCATAATTATTTTGCAGTCAATGTTGCTTTCAAAATCAGTACAAACTACTTCTGAAGTAAGTTTATGTGTACAAGATATATTTGTGTCTTTTCACATTTTGGTTACAGATGTTTCTTTTTCAATTTGATAATTCGTATTCCATTTTTTGCATCTTTTATCCGCCACCATCGTCCTAATTTGTGTTCCTGTCCCACACCCGCTACTAGTATCTGTCCATCCACAGAGAACTGAAGACTGTTCACAAAACCATCCTGGAATTTTAAATAAAGAGAAAGATCATTAAATGTCTGTTTCTTCACCCAACTAAACTTGTAAAAGCTTGTCTTAATCCAGAAAACAAATTCATTTCAAGATAATAATAAAAATTGTCTTAAGTGGTCACCACTGGTTTTCGACTCCTATATAGTTGCATTTGGGCATTCTACAAATATTTTTGTTAAGTTTTACATTAACAGAATTGTATCTTAATGTTCTCTAGATTTGTCCTAATTCTTATTCAATTAGATCAAATCTGTAAGAGTACTCAGTACATGTAGTATTTTGAAAGAATGAATTCGATTATCCTACCTTACTAATCAACACTGAAACCAAAAATTTATAAAACTAAATTCGGTATCTTGACAAACGCGGCTAGGATAAGGCTGTCCGAAGAATGTCACAGTGTATCAGCCGCAGTAACTTCTCTGAATTACTTAGATATGACGTCATAATGGCATATGACGTCAAGTCACTGCAAATTTGAGCAGACATGACGGGGAAAGTGTCATAACTTTTACATTCCTTCATTCACATGTAGAATTTTTTTACTTTGATGTTTAATTCATGTGTTTGGATTGTTGATTTAAGGCTGTTTTGATAGTGAATTTTTGCAGTGTAATATCGTTATTACATTTTTTTGTCTAACATGTACGTATTCAAACAATTACCAAAAAAATGTGAAACGCTCCCCTTGCGCGTCTGTAGACAGACTGAGAATTTATAAATCGTGTATATATTAGACTGGCACAAGTGAATAATAAGGATTAATTGAAGATATTCTGTGTGAATCTACTAGAGAAATATGTCCTCTAACTGAATTTTGCTGGGGGATTGTATGTAATTTATTCCGTTTTGTATAAATTGCGATGAACAGTGGAAAATGACCCCTTGTATGTGGGTAAGTTGAATTTCTCGTGAAATATTTTCTTAAGAAATAAAATTCAGACTTGCCCCCAGCACTTTATATATACCCAAGAATACGTTTAATTGATTTATGTAACAAGCCGTTCACAATAATTTTGTTTTTCAATTGTGCCGATGCGACTTTTGTGCAACATTTAAGAAAATTTATAAGTGTCCGTCATGTGACCAACATAGTCATGTGACATCACAGAAATGCTTTTTTATAATGCCTTATTCAACTCTCTTTACAACTTAACTGTGTATGTATACATAGATTACAAATTGAAATCAAAACATAGCTCAAAATAAAATAGTATATATCTAATGCAAATTAAGCCTTCGGACAGCCTTAACATAGCTGTGAAGTCGATTTGTGTACTGAAATTATGTCAAAGCCATTGGAGGGATAGCAGTTTGAAAAAGAAAAAAAAACACGGAATAACAAGAATGGCATTAACTTTTTTTCAAGAAGTGTACAGTATGTATAACTATCATATAATGAAGGAATATGCGTCTTCTTTTTGGTATGCGTGAGCTTAGAGGTGATAACCAATATTGGAGCACACTTATGCAAAATGTCCTTATGTTCCAATATCATTTTCATCATCATACACAGAGGCATTCACCTTATTCTGAAGTTTTAAGTAATCAGACTGGTTTGTATCCGTAATTTGAGCTTTTCATCTGTAATTTAGTTCTGACAATACTTTGTCCTAATTCTATAATGTACTTGTGATAATTTTTGATATATTAAATGACTTTAATTAAGGTCTTTAAATGTGAATAAAAAAAAAATAAAAATTAGGAGCATAACCCAGAAGCATAATTTCTGAAGGAAATTCCATAATTTGTATAATGAAAACAAAGATGTGGAACAAATACAAAATTTCCATAAAAGTAAATAGCTCTGCAGACCATAAAAAAATAAGTACTGTAACATATATTTTTAATTACAATTTTTACCTCACAATGACTTTAACCCAACCCTAACACTGGATAAAACGACATGCATACATGTATATATAGGTATGCATACTTCACTGAATATAATTATATTAATAAATAATGTTTTCCTCGATAATGTCCCCTCCTGAAGCCTTTGTCTTTCTTTTTGATGTAACATAAGCCATGCCCTCTAACATAATAATAAGCAAGTAAGGGCATAAAATTATGGTTCATAAGATGGGTTGCTGTTATGAAGGTATAACACCTGTTTTTACAGGCATGTTTATGACAAAACATTGGCAAATGTAAATAAATGTGATTACAATTTGTAGTAAAAGTTTAACATACCATTGGTATTGAAAACAAAGGCTGCAAAACTGTGTTGTTTTTGGCAGTCTTCCAAAGCTTTATACATCCATCTTTAGAACCTGCTAAACAAAATTTACTGATTGTAGTTAAAACATAACATTATTCCTTAACATGACTCGAAGTCAAGCTTTGTGATGCATTATAAACATCTGTCATTTGCTTTAATATAAAAAAAAACACTGTTGAGTTTTTGTCAGTTCATTCATCCCCCAATGAATAATATGGGTTGGTTTTGTAGTTTGTGTTGTCAACTCTCAAGCATGGCAGACACTTTTAAAAAGTCTATTTGTCTGTTCAGTCAGATTTTCACAAAGAAGTTGAAATGTTTTCCTGAACACTCACTTATATACATGTAAAAGAGGGAAAGTTAATTGAACTTTCAGTCCATTTTCCATCCGTATGAATAAAACAGGATCTACATTCTACAGGATTTATGGAAATTACATCAAAAAGTTCCCTGATTGTCCTTTATGGATAAATTCTTCCTTAATAAAAGTGGCACTTGTACTTTAACATACCAGAAGCCACCAGATCTGTGTTATGGAGGGCAGCTACAGCAGTTATCCAGTTTGTATCAGTGCTAGAGTTACCATTCTGATCCTGTCCACAATGGGCATTCTTCACAGTTACTATGGGCTTTTTCTTCATCATGGACCATAATGACAACGAGCTAAAGTGAAAAATGTCTGAAGAAATAAACTCTTTTCTTTCTTGAGAAGGAAGGGAAGAATTTTTTTCTTTTCACACTATATATAGATTTCATATAATATATATCTATATCTATATCTATATATATATATATATATATATATATATATATGGAAGATCAATTATATGTACGTGCTTTAATTCATTCAATTATATATAATATATATTTTTATAAATCTAATTTACATTATCGTTTAAATCCAGATCAACATCAAAATTATTGATTTTCTTAATTGAAAATAAAAAAAAGATTAAATGAACAGCATAAATGTACATGTATGTCCAATTGTAAACTACTATGGTATTATTTAATTTATCTTTTACAAAACAAGATGTGTTTGTGAAACACTGATGCCCCCGTATAGCAGCTTATGGCGAAGGTTAAAGTTTCTCAAATGCAAGTCAAAATCCAGGCCAAAAGATAAAAAAATGTTAAATTTGAAAGCCTTAGCTGCAACTGTTCAAAAGTTATGGCGAAGGTTAAAGTTTTTTAAAAGTAAGTAAAACATCAAGGTCAAGGTCAAAGTTGTTGGTATCCAAAGGAAAGTCTTGTCAAAAGGATTACATATGTAAAGTGTGAAAGCCCTAGAACCAACCATTCAAAAGTTATGGCCAAGATTAAACTTTTTCGAAAGTAGGTCAAACTCCTATGTCAAGGTCAAAGGGTCAAAGTGGTTGGTATCCAAAGGAAGGTCTTGTCACAAGGATTACATATGTGAAGTGTGAAAGCCCTAGAACCAACCATTCAAAAATTATGGCCAAGGTTAAAGTTTTTCAAAAGTAGGTCAAACTCCTATGTCAAGGTCAAAGGGTCAAAGTAATTGGTATCCAAAGGAAGGTCTTGTCACAAACAATACACATGTGAAGTTTGAAACCCCAAGCACCAACTGTTCAAAAGTTATGGCCAAGGTTAAAGTTTTTCAAAAGTAGGTCAAACTCCAAGGTCAAGGTCAAAAGGTCACGTTGTTGGTATCCAAAGGAAGGCCTTGTCACAAACAATACACATGTGAAGTTTGAAACCCCAAGCACCAACTGTTCAGAAGTTATGGCCAAGGTTAAAGTCTCATAAAATTTTGCAAAAGTGGGTCAAACTCCAAGGTCAAAAGGTCAAATATGATGGTACCCAAAGAAAGGTCTTGTCACAAGGAATACACATGTGAAATATGAAAGTCATAGCTCCAACCAATCAAAAGTTATGGGCAAGGTTAAAGTTGACAACAGACAGACAAACAAACAGACAAACAGATAAACAGACAGACAGGACAAAAACTATATACCCCTGGGATCTTTCGATCCAGGGGCAAAAAATGTACAGCTTGATTTAGCTTGTTCTTTTTCTTAACTGAAATAAAAAGAAAAAAAAACCCCTAATTATCAGTAGTAAATAACCAATATAATAAGTCGTACAGTATTGTATTCTTTTAAAATTGCTTACCTTATATTGATAAAGCGTATTTAAGATGTTTAATGATTTTTTTTTTCTCTGATGTTAGGCCCCGTTAACTGCTAATTGTGGTCATGATATTTTTATATCAAAACATGAAAAAAGTATATTTTTACAAAAAATATTAATAATTATCAATACTTACAAAAATATTTAGTCAGCAAATATACACAACATGATTGTTGGGATTACTTTTTATCCCTGATACTCATTATTATTTTAAAAAATTTGCTGATTTGTGAGATTCATAAATGGAAAGATGGATATAGTTTTCTTTCATTTTTAGGTCACTTTTAAAAATCTTTTACCCCATTACTGCATATCATAAAATCCAATTGAATCAAAACGCACGACCAACCTATATCATGTTATAGAACATGCCACATTCGATCATAAATTACATGTTTACGTATCAAAAAGAAAAAAAAAATTTCTAAGTTGGAGAATTACATAAATAATTATTTGTAATCTAAAATAACTATTAAGTCTTATTTTCATGTAGTTTCAAAAATATCCATTTCTAAATATTTTTTTTCAGTTTTCCAAAGTCGATGAATTGCAGCAATAAATATTTTCAATCTAAAACATCTATTAATTAAGCTTTATTTCTTTTTAAAAATATCCACTCTTAAATATTTTTAACTATTTTGTGTAAAAAAATCGTGTATTTGCGTTAACAATTGTGAATGATCATGTAATGTGAAGAATCGTGTGAATGAATGATCGTTCATGGAACAGGATTAATCACACGGAATCATTCGTGTAATGTGATTGTTCGTGTATGTTGTCAACAATAACGTTTCAGCCACTGTACATGCACATGTATCGATCACCACAAAAACAACAATGATCGATTTCACTACTGTATTTGGAATATACAATGGGCGGAGCTTACTGGCTGCAAGATTAAAGCGGGGTCTGCTTCACACATGAGTGCGTAAAGCGAACCCAGAAAGCGAACGGCGGGTTCGCTCTAGCGGACCTGAAGCGCACCCAAGCAAACCCAGAGCGCACCCAAAATTTCTGAAAGTGGACCCCGAACAAACCCAGAAAGCGAACCCGGGGTGTGCTTTGGGTTCGCTCTGGTGTTAGGTTGTGTCTGGTCGGTACTGTACTACATCAACACTATTCAATGAAATCAAAAAACTAATTTATAGAATAAGGGAACTTAGGTACATGTACCATGTGTTCTTGAAATCAGTTCAAAACTGTAGGAGTAGTATAATTTCAAAGAAATTTCAGAGTGTGGACAATAGGCATGATTTTAATAAAGCTTATATATATAATTCAAGACTGTACTGACAGAGCATGAAATATAATCTCCTTACTTGTTATCAGCACCTGATATAAAGTTGGACTCATTGATGAAAGCTACACAGTCTATAGATCCCCTAAAATACAAAAACATGAATTTCAAGTTTGATAAAATGTGTCAATTTAACAACACTTAGCCCTTAATTTTTACAGAAATTGTAGATCACAATTTTTCAATTTTCTTTTACTCTCAAATATTTCTTGACATGATTTTTTTTTCAATTATGGATTTAGGTTGAGTGTTTTCTCAGTCAAGAAAATTAATAGATGCAAATGGATTTCAAGTTGGAAGACTAAAATTTGTCGCAAATAATATTTGTATATAATATATACTAGACTTACGGGTCTCCATTAAAGACAAGTTGCGATTCCTCTACCACTTTCCAGATTCGTATACTTCCATCTCGCCCCCCTGAAGTTATGGCTCTATCTCGGATTAAACTGTCTATATCTGTGATAGCATCACTGTGTCCAAACCTGCAATATCACAAAAGGAAAAGGCTCAATGACCTACTTAGAGTAGTGCCTTTAATATCATGCTTTAACCTGTACGTTATTTCATCTATTCTTCAAGAGCTTATGTTTTTGCTTGTTTTACTCACAGTGTCTCTATGTATGCTAGCTCATCCACATTCCAGATTTTGACTGATCGATCATGTGAGGCACTGAACAGCTGGTGAGAACCAATTCTGAAAGCCAGGCCCTACAAAGGACATCGTCACTTAAAATTGCTGTGGCCATACAATCATTTTTTTTCATGTCAATGGCCTCTTGCACTTTATGCCTTGCCACAGCAGGTATAAAGTTACATGTACCATAAAATCACTGATTTTCCTTGGGTTAAATTAAGGAAAAAAATATGGGTTTGCAGGGACTTATTTTTGTGGTTGATAGACAAAATTGATACATGTACTTCTGATTGAAATTTCAACATTTTGTGGAGGACATGAATTGACCTGGTGTATTCATACTACAAAACAATGTTACAAGTTAAACAAGTTAAACGACCATGAAAATTAGTGATCTCACATTGCTCCAGCATGCTAGAGGTTTACGGTGAGATACTTTTGTTTTGGCACTGTATACATAAGGAGCATGTTAACTCAGGCTCTTGTAGGAAGTAATATAAAGTCAAACTTAGCACTATATGCTACATGGAAATACCCACTATGTATCATGGTTGTGCTAGGTACATGTATAACAATGCAATTGTCTACAAGGAACCTTTTTGATATTCATGTCTTTCTTGTGTCCATGGTGGTGGATACAAGCAAATCTGGTGAAATTAAGTGAACTTTTGATTAGACATTTATTTAGTTTTTATGTAACTACAGTTGAACTTAATTATCTCAAACACAAATATCTCCAATACCATGGATATATTGAAGTGATTTGGAAGTCCCAAACACTTTATCTTTAAGTATTTTACCCTCAGTATCTCAAACCCTTGGATATCTCAAAGTTTTATTCCGGTCCCATCGAGTTTGAGATAACCAGGTTTGACTGTCTTATACTGTTCCTTTTTCTTAAATTTTCTCCCCTCCCAACTATTTAAAGATTACATTTTTAAGAAGTGCAAATGAGAGACAATAGCCAATACCTATAACACCAGCATATTAAATACTGCCTATGCAGGATTTCATGAGAGAATGCAGCACTTCTGAAATGTTTTACACCCATTCACATACAACTTGTATGGATACAGCATTAGCACAGTGAACCTGCAGTTCCGCTCAAGCAAAATAAAACACGTCAGTTACTTAATGAGTCCTTACTGAGATTGAATCTCTGTGGCCTGTAAATTTGTGGATAAGTTGGCAGTTGTCTGGATTCCAAAGCAACACAAACTTATTTTTGCCCCCTGATGCCTGAAATGTAAGAAATCTTTTTATTTTGCATTTTCCAGTAAAATTAAATAAGTTATGGTTAAATAAATTCAAAATTTACAACTAGTACTGACATAAGAGGATTTAACTAGTACTGTATTTTATTCAGTATACATGTACAGTGAATGGGAAAAGGCAGCAGCCTAAGCCTAGCTGAGCCCTCTCCTATCAAATGGAATGAATGATACAAAATGACACCAATGAAAAATTATCTTTGTTATTCTGTATGACCTACACCTGTTTAAATTTGCTTTTAAGGGCATAAGAAAAGTAATGTATAGATTTTTTTTGTGCCATATTAAACTTCTGAGACCATTTCATCTAGCTTTCATTTTGCATTTGACATACTGGAACAGTTTTCGTAGACACATAAAACAAAAAAACAATGTCCACTTACCAGGAATTTTCCATCAGAGGACATGGCCAGACAAAGCACATGGTCAGTGTGTCCAGTATGTGTGTCCTCTGTACCTTTCCTCCCGCCATGTATCGTGTGAAGTCTTCTACCCTCCTCCACATCCCCTATATAAACAACAACAACAAAATTGTTAAGCCTTATTCATTGACAAAATTTTTACACTAGATATGAGTAATGATGAGACCATACAAAAAAGAAAATGGTTATTCATACTTACAACTAATGCTTTATATCATATTCATTTGATGTTTTTAAAACATGTTTAATATCAAATATAATTTTCCCATTAGTATTGCTATAAATCAGTCTCAAATATAATATGACTTACCACATTCTATTGTGGGGAATCAAATGACATGTATTTTGTACCCAAGAATTTACATCAATGAAAACTAATCTATATTTTCATATAAATGAGATCATTGCCAATGAAAGGGATACAATAAACTAGAATAAGCAAACTATTGCATCTCTGGTTAGCACTGGTTAGAATTTACAGATTCTGAAATATTTTACTTGCAAATATGCTAAGTGATCAGAAAACGAAATGTGAGGGAACAGAGATGACTGATAAGACCCCAAACAGAGCTTAGCACCAATGGAATGTGAATGTCTAACAAAGCGAGTATATACACCTAACTGATAACAGTGAGTGTACTGTGGCCAGCAGGCAGTGAAGAATTATTAATTCAGGAGAGTGGACTTCACAAAATTTCTTTCATGCAAAAAATGTTGATTAACAGTACAACATATGTCATAATATGTTACTTAGGACAAATGGTCCACATACATGTACATATACGCACATTTGATAATACTACAGTCTTTGGAGCCACTGAACACATATCTCTTGTCAGGGGAGATAACCACACATGTCACAGTCAGCTGATGTCCTCTCAGCACTATAATGTCCTCCAGAGAAGGTTGTATATACTGCAAGTATTCCACAAAATTCTATTCATTAATTTATTTTTCGTATTATTAAATGAGCAAATGTAGGGCAAGATGAAAAAATGCATGAGAATTAATAAAACAGTGAAAATATAAAGTAAATGACTAAATATACAAATTTCAAGCTTTCTAAACTCACAGTTGCTTTTGGCAAGCTAAGTTCACATTTGCATGTCAAGTAATTTATTTCAAAGTCAAGCTGGGTCATAAAGAGAGTTTAATTAATTGAATTACCTCATCAGCTACTGATTTCTGTAATTTTCCTGTCTGTTCCAGCTGTAAAAATAAATCAATGGATGATAAGGACAGCTTACATTAACCAGATAGAGAGGGCAGGAAATATATTTCTATAACAATGAAGGAAAATTAAAATAAATGATCAAAGTACACAGATTTTTTTTTCTGGAGTTAAAACAAATGCACCTTGAGAGAGCATCAAGAAAATAAAAAAAAATCTCATTATGAAATTAATGTAACAGCAGGAAGATTACTATCTTGTATAAATACATGTTCAAATCCACAAAGAATACAAACACATTATATTTTGTTTACAACATGAGGATTTGTTTTACCAGATCTTGTTTTAATCTATGTGAAATGATGTCCCTGTGAATGTCATCTTGTTCTCTCTTCTCAGCCTCTACAAAATAAACGTTTTACAATAGTTTCAAATAGTTACTTTATATTTGATTGGTTTTTTTTTAAATACTAGTAGCATTAGTTTTCTTTTAAATTTTTTTTCCCAATGTACTGGTATGAATTGAACTCAGCTCAACCCAACCAAATTTCAGGAAAAATTACTTCCACTTTATTTTCTAGGAAAAGTCATTCAAGATTTAAAAGGGAGACAAACCTTTCAGAAATTTTGGATATTGCTGTAAAATTATACTTCAATATTAAAATATATGCATAAATGATTTTTTTTACGAGCAGATGGTTTTGCATACTTAAGGGAAAATAAAGTTCTTGCAAATAAAAACTTATTTACCTGTGAAGTACCTGTTTGATATAGCCCTTGGCTAGAAATGCCCTGAACTATCTCACAGCCAAGCATCACTGTATAATGTCATCTTACTATATCATTATACCTATAGCTTTGCAATTTCGCACTACAAGTGTTCCCTTTCAAAGGTTTCAATTTCAATTTTTTTTTTTCAGGAGCAATGTACTTACTTCCAATCCAAAGCAATGTAATGCAAACACTTATACATGAAATTCATCTTTTTTCCCCCAAATTTTTTGTATGTACCTTCTTGTTCTAAACTGGCCAGATATTCTTTTGCAAGCCGTAACTTTTTCTCTTGTGCTGTTTCTTCCTCATCTGAAGATGATGCCACCTCTGTTTTCTTTCCATCCTCATCACTTTAAAGTAATATATAAACTTTAGAAAAATCATATATGTTTGAAAAAAGATGTATAAAAGAAATATATCCTGTTTAAAATTTACTTTCTTTCATCAAGTTATTAGTATACAGTATACAAAAAAATAAATTAGACCATAGGAGTCGACAGTTTTATCCATAAAGCAACGTAAACAATAATCAGTGAGCTTCACAAGCGTAGCAATCAATTATCATAGGTGAATAGTAAAGGGGAATAACATCTCTCAGTAGGCTATAAATCAATAGAGGCCTCGCACCAGAACATTTGACCAAATGGTCGAGGATTTAAAAAACTGGGTAAAAATACCCTTGCTTATTCCAACTATATACCCTGTTTGCCTCTTAGATGCCTAGGAGCAGAGAAGACTTTCAAAGAATAACTTATATTCACGACAGATTGAACTATCACCAGAAGGCCTTACCCAGGGGCCATGAAATTTACAATTTTGGAAGAGGAACACTTGCTAACCACACTATCCACTTAATTTGCTTGATTAATACCCAGGAGCAGAGAAGAAGAATTAATATATTTTCATTATAATAAATAGAGCCCCGACCTAGCACTAAAAACCCTAGACCAGTGGCGGAGAAATTCAAAATTTTGGAAGAGGCACCCTTGCTCATCATAATCATGCAATTAGTTTGTCTGCTAAATACCCAAGGGCAGAGAAGATATTTACAGAATTTATGCATTCCCAATATCTGATCTAAAGAACCCTGCCCTAAAACCAGAACCCCTGTCCCAGGAGCCATGAAATTCACATTTTTGGAAAAGGCACACTTGTTCAACACAACTATACACTTACTTTGTTTGCTTAATACCTGGGAGCAGACAAGAAAATTTTCATAGAAATGATGCATTTTCACTAAATAATCAATAGAGCCCCACCCTAACACCAGAAACCCTGACCCAGGGGACATGAAATTCACAGTTTTGGAAGAGACACCCTTGCTCATTATAGCTATAAACACTCAATGTGTTTGTTTTATATGCAGGAACAGAGAAGAAGAATTTCAAAGAAATAATGTACATGCATCTTCATTAAATAATCAATACAGCCCCGCCCCTCCGCCACCAAACACCAGAACCCTTGACCCTGGGGCACAATTTTCAAAATTTTGGAAGAGAAACTTTTGCTCATCAGAACCAAGCATCTAGTTTATCTGCTAAATATACAGGTGGAGAAAAGAAGATTTTTAAAGAGTTAATGTACTACTTTTCACTATATGATCATAACAGCCCCATCCTATGGTGTCAGGATACGGCCATTTGCAAAAGCTCAACATCGCATTCAGAAAAACATGCCGTCATGCTAACACACAGCACACCGTTACGCTAACACACAGCACGTCATCGCGCTAACACATCATTGAACAACACACTTTCACGCTGACACAAGTTCGCACAACATGCCATTGCACTAACACACAACATGCCTTCACGCTAACACTCAACTCGCCGGCAGGGACCATGAAATTTACAATATTCGTACCCCTTCACCCATTGATGTTACATGCCAAAATTGGTTGATATTTGTTTAAGAGATGAAGCTGAAAATGTCCAAAAGTTTACAACTGATGCATGACACACGAAGAACATGATGAAGGACAAAACCAGATAGCAATAGGTCATCTGAGTGACTCAGGTGATCTAAAAACTCTATAAGGTAGTTCTAATCTAAAACAAATCATAGTTAATATCCACAGAAAGTAATTACATGTATATATCTCTTTAAAAATCATATATTTTATTGTTTTTAAAGTTTTGATTGGAGAAAAATAGGACGGAGGTACCTTTCTATTTCCGATTCACTGTCTATTTCTTCATTCTGCAGTCTTAACTTCTTTCTCTTTTGTTTAGAGGGACCTCCACTAAGTGACACCTGTGGTCTCTGATGTTTTGCCTTAGTATTGAAAAGTAAAAGTAAATATTTCTCAAAAAAGTGTATTGATTTCTTTCACTAATCAAGATATGTTTGGCAACTGACAATGCACGTATGTCTATGTTGAAGCATCTTCACTAGCCCATGTCCGAAACGAATCGGACACCTGGCTAGAGAAGATGATGTTGAAGATTTATTTTCATCATGTACACAATCGCATATTTGGATTTTTCAAAGATCTTTTTTTAATAATATATACATAATATTAAAAATGGCATTTGTGTTATTGCATGAATTCCTTCTACATTATTTTATTCAACACTTTATTTTCATGGGTGTGCGATTACCATTGCCCAACTCCTGGGGCTACCAATTTTAGAGGTTGGGCAAGCAAACATCAAATCTAGCAAACCTTAAATGAAAGTAAACACATTCTTCAATACAGTTGTCAATATTAAAATTACATTGACCAACTTTGTTGCCAAATCAAGATCCTCAAGGTGTGCATTGCTACATGTAGTAACAGTTGGTTCAAACATTGTAGGTGGTTACACTAGAAAGGTTAGTGAACATGGTGATGGTGAAATGGGTGATATTAAAACAAACAAAACTGACAATTGTTTTGCATATATATTTGTTTAGGCTTTAAGCTGTACATCAGAATGTGTATATGAAACGTTAAACATGCCATCAGTATGGGCTAGTAACTAAGACCTCATGCTAGTAAATTTGTTACTATCAATAGCCCCTCAGCTAGTAGCCAATTTATGTAATTGCACACCCCTGATTTTTGCTCTGTTCTGTAAGTCACTTTATTACATTTTCAACAGTGAAATACTGATATTAATTTATTGAATAAAAGTGATATTCTCTCACAGCGAGACAGGATAGCAAAGTGATATTCTCTCACAGTGTGAGAGGATATCAAAGTAAATAAAAAAGAATTTCTGGCTTGTAATAAGATAGAGATAGTAACTAAACTATCTTGATAGAGACTAAAATTTAACTGTGTTAAGAAAAGGCAAAAGGCAAAGGGAAAATTAAAAACAGTGTAATAAAAAGAAAATTAAATGTTTTGTAGTTGGATATGAAACTTATTAGGAACATATACGGAAGGTATCCAACTACAAAACATTGAATATTCTCTATGCAATACAACTGTACCATGACAGCATTGCTTTATTTGCTAGAGATGGGATCATGTACCTGGTGAAATTGTTTGAGACACCAAGAGGTGGTCAGATAGTGGAAGGGGTGGATTGGCACAGAGCAAGGGAACAATATTTACTTTAATTCTTATTCTCAAAGAAAGCTTAATCCACAAATCCCCACGCTTTGAAATATACGTTCACATAGACAATAGAACATACTAAAACAATTAATTTTGTATGTTTTCGCTTTAAAAGTCTATACATAGTGTATTATGTGATATTTGATATTCGTGTTAAATAGAGTAAAATATAATCAATGAATTCCTTGCGGTTTTGGTGCGGTAAAATAATACTTAAATGCTTTACGTTTAGCAATCGGAAAATAGAATAATGGATGACACAACCTTACCTTTGACTTTGATTGTTTTCTTCCTTTTGATTTTATAAAGAACGGCATTTTATCACAGAAACGATCAAAATTACTGAAAAGTCACAAACACGAAACTGAAACACGTTGTTTTCATTTTTTGTGTCAATGTTTTTAACACTCTATATCTACAAGCCTCTACTCCATCGCAGCAAACGTTTGAAAGATCTCATTGATTTAATAAACTATACATCACACCTAACAGCAAATCCGGATTAATGTTGGATTCACTCGCCGAACTAGGGGGATTGGGGGTTCAGATACTTCTAGGATTTTTAGAATTTTAGGTTTTGAATTATTTCTTTTTTATGTTTTATTCGGGAAATAAGTTCTATGTAAAGGTAACGAAAAAATTACCCCCTCCCAATCATGTTAAAACTACAACTGAAGGACTTTGGAAAGTGGTGTCTACCCTCAATATTGAAATAGATTTTTCCTAACCACCAATATCTCAAAAATTCGATAAACCTATTAAAGAGGGGCCTGTACACGTGTTTCATAGAGGGGTCCAAGGTAATTTTTTCCGTTACTTTTTAACTCTGAAAATCCCAGTAGGGATCATCCGCCCCTCCTCCCGCTCATCTCTAGATTTATACTTATAAATGTCAGATGTTTATTGATCTAAGAAAATCCAGGAATTCATCCTTTTGATGTACAACTGCAATTTTTTGACGACATGGTTTTTCCTGTTTTGTTTTAATGGTGTAGAAGTACATGTACATTGTGTTGGGTTTTGAGAATTAAAATATTTCATGATCTTTTCATATGGAATTTTGAAAAATAATTTTGAAAGTCAAAAAGACCACTCTTAATCGTATACTGTTTATGGGGAGTTGAGAAGAATACCATTTAGTATAATAGCATTTTAATCTAGAATGATGGTTTCTGGAAAAGGGTTTTGTGTGGTAAAAAGGAGAAAATTTCCTTCAGATTGTACTCAATTTTGTATCAAATTAGTTCAGGAGGTTTTTCCATTCAAAATGGCTCATGGAAATTAGGAATATTTGACATGAATGTAATTTGGATTTAATATGGAATGCTCAGCATGTTGATAAATCAATCAAGATAGTATGTTAATTTTGAAAGAATAATATCAAGTCTAAAGAGTTTTAGTAAATTGTCCAAATATACTTTAATTCTAGAATGTACAAGTGTGAATTTGAATATGTTATCATCCGACTTTATGTGTCAGTAATAACTTGCCAGTAGAAGCTGGTAGTTTTTATAGCAATGATGTAGATGAGAGAAAACTGTAATCTCTGCAATAACTCTGAACTCAAATAGGTGATAAGTTTCATTATTTATTTAGGTGACCATTATTTAAGAATGAACGACAGATATTTATACCCAGCAATCTTTATATGAATCCAAACACAATATTCTTTTATGATTTGATGAATACTTCTCATATATATAACCTAATAGGTTTAGCAAAGTTTTGTAAAGCTGTAAACTTAAACCTTTTCATAAACCTGAATTTCCTATTTAACATTTATTTTATATATATTTATTTCTAATAACTGTCGAACTGTATACATGTATCATAGATCTTTTTTATTGTTTAATATTGTGATTGTTCCCTTTTTGATTTGTTCAGTTGTAAAAATTCCTTTGTTCTTACAAACACCATGTTGTGGGCTTTAGTGAAATAAAAAAGTCTCGAATATCTCAAGTCTCATAAATAAATAAAACTCTATAGAATGGCATTTTTAAACGGAAGTTAATTTTTTTATTTTATACACACAACAGAAAGCCTTCTGTCCAGCTTGGAACTGTACAGCGTGTGTGTGGCATTTTTTCCTTCGTAATGGAATTTTTGTTGAAGTCACCGTTAATTATCAGAATTACAAGGGGGAATTTTGTTTTTAAACTCTTAATAGATTTTTGTCACTGCATTTAAGTATTAAGATACATGTACTAAATGCAGTTATTTTGCGTATACTAAAACATAATGCATCCTTGACGGATCCTTGAATACATGTAACTTCTTGTCGTTCATATGAAATTGGGAATTACATTTTCTGTGTCTGGATGAATTCTCAACCTTCTTATTCTTATTCCATTAAAAAAAAGACCCTATTTATTTATTGTTGGTTAGATGTTGGAGATATTGCATGGGTGGGGTGGGCAACAAATACTGTCGATAACCAAATTCTTTTTTAAACATATTAAAATTAGAAGAGGTTTCCTATTTTCACATTTCAATTTAATACCTTGGGGTCGTCGGTTCCAGACACACACCCCCTTTCCGCTGGACTTGCACCGACAATGTACGAATACATATATCGTACATATATATATATATACATATATCATAATGGATAAGATATTTCGCATGAAAATTTTATTTAAAAAATAAAACACTTTAATCAACAAAGTAGAAAAAAGACATGTACATAAACTAGAAACATTCAGTAATACATATATATATATACATAATTCTGTTATTATGGATGGAGGTGCTGCATGGATTATATAGATATACATGTACAATCAAAATAATGCGTAAAAAGACTTAAATTAATACAAAAAAATACAAAATTAAAAAAAAAACCGCAAGACCAGCTCATAATGGTTTCTTGGCGGGTATTTAATTAATTATGGCTAAATACAATAAGAGCATACTATATGTTCATGTAAGATGCTTTGTTTATACTTGACAACATATTGAGATCTTGTTTTACTGATGCATAATTTACAGTCATTCAGGTATATTTAATACAATACATGAAAGTCATATGTACATACATTTCACCTGCTAGAAAAGGGCCTGTCGGAATTTAGAGAATTAATTTTACCGGCTGTAAAACGTAGCATATACTCACTGTACTAGTTTCATTGACTTATCAATTCGACCGAATTATAATACTTTGGCGCAATTAACGTCGCATGACAATTAATGTAAAGAATCGTCATTTTATTTTCGGGACAGTTAAAAAATGGCTGTTCGCTGTCCAGAGGTAGTATATTTATATTTTTCTTAATTACTGTCTTAATGATACAATAATTATTTATAATATTCATGTTTACAGAAAGCTGTCATTTAATCAAATACATGTATGCAAATTCCATATGGCCCAGTGAGATTTAAATCTTATTTTTGAAAATCGTGTAAGGGTAATTTTACAAGTAAATCCATAAAATTGTCAAATACATCAGACAGCACGTGAGTATAGTTTAGAGGAAGATACACACAGGCTGTTAATAAAACTCGTGCTGTGTTATCTTCTCTGTAAATAACATTCACAATTCAATGACGTGTGTCTCGCACAAAGAAAGACTTCATGTTTGTACATGTACCCATCTTTCCAAAGTCAATGCCAAGTGTCTGATCCACTTCGCTCCACATAAGTTTATGTGGAGCGGAGTGGATCAGAGACCCTTCACTTGGGAAGATGGAACAGTTAGATGGTACAGTTGTATGTATACCAATTTTTTTCTCAGAACCCCCTTTTTAAAAACCGTTACAGTCGTGTACTTACATGCACATGAACGACAAATATATGGCACTGCTTGACCTTAAATTTACACACACTTTTTTTTTTAAAGAAACATTCATGAAAGGTCTCATATGATTCATAAGAGCTTTTCGTGTTCATTTTTTGTTCATGTACACCATTGCCAAAATAGTGGTTAGCATGACGTCAAATCTTGACCTCCGGACATTAGCAGCACCATTGGAATTGGTACAGGAACACAGAAATCCCCAGGAGCTGTCAAATGCTTTAAAAGAAAACGATGTTTTCATTGTTAGTTAATATGTAGTAACAAAAGATCTTGGAAAACGATTTTTTATTAGTAGAACATAAATATAATAATATTCCTATTATGATGTTTCCTCTAAGTCTTTAAAATTCATGGTTAGCAGCTTTACGCAATGTACATGTAACATGTAATATAATTTAAAAGAAAAATGGGTAACACCCCCCCCCCCCCCCCCAACACACACAAGAGTATTTAATTTCTCATCACTGGAGTCAAAATCGCATGAGAGATTTTTTTTCTTATTATTTCTTATTATATATCGTCTATTATCATACGCAAATAAATTTAACAAATCACACCTTGGGATAGAGAAGTATCATTTTTGTTTGTTTATTCAAAAGACCACTCTTACTTTTCGGTATTTTTTTTTTTTCGTATTCGTGTTGAAAAAAAATCTCAAGTAAAATATCTGGCCCATAGAAAAGTGCGGGGGGGGGGGGGCAAATTTGTTATAGTAAATTTTCATTTAGACGCTGTTTAACCCCCCCCCCCCCGCACTTTTTGTGTGCTGTAAGGTCGAGCACTGGCAAAATCCAGGATTTGGCGCCTTGCTTGGGCAGTTAAGGAGGTTTGTTTGTTTGTTTTAGTTTGTGTTTTTGCTTGTCAGATGTTTGAAACCATTGCTACGGGCCTGAAAATTACAAGTTTTGAGTCCACGGCTCAACTTACTTCCTGTGTTGTGAAATCAAGTTTATTTATCTTATACACTGTATTACGCCAAATACATATACACTGTACCAAATTCTGGGCTCTTTTTTTCCGGGGGGGGGGGGGAGGGGGGTGTCCATACCCAAAAGCATCGAAGAGTTTATTCCAGTACAATTTATCACACTCATATTGAAATACTTACATGATGTACTGGAATTGGAACAAGTATAGGATACACTTGTAGACGATCTTCTGTCTATAACCTTTCCTTTGAAACAGCCTAGAATATAGGGCCAATCATAAGTCATGTAGTACCGGTAACTTCCACTGCCATCTGACCCGTGACATTTGTCAAGGTCAGAGGTCGTAAGGTTGGTGGTGCCACTGTTGTGCCAAGAAGCCAATGGACCGTATATAGGATAACCATCAAGAGCTACCCCTACAGAAAAAAAAAAGATTCAGAAAATATATCGCTGGATTCAACCATCCAATATTTTTTTTTTAATATTGAATTTGAAGAACTTATGGTCCAGTTTTTAAAAAAATCTTTTGCAAGATTTCTTTACAGCCCCAAAACTTTGGCACCCTTTCGGTAACTAAGCGTCTCCTGTAGAGGCTAAGGTAAAACGATTTTTTCATGTCAAAAGGGCATATATGAACTTATTACTAAGTATGTAATAAATCAATTGATTTATTCTTTCGTAATGAATCATGATCAAACTTTATTTTTTTTTTCTGAAAATTCAGAGTGCTTGTGGCAGCCAAGACCCTGCTACCCTCTGAAATATACACTTGTGGGATTTGCGAATCCCCATGGATTAATTATTGCCTGGTAGTAGGTATATGAATACATGGAATTTGTACAAAGCTTATTTCTAGATTTTATTTGTGGAACACACTCGTGTGATATGTATTACCAAAAAAAAAAAAAAAAAAAAAAAAAATCAGAATTCCATATTATTGGGAATCTTTCCGTATACACAAGTTCCCACCAACATGAAGCTGATATGCATGGATATTAGAATTGAGAAATATGATAATTACCAATGAATTCGTCCACGCCTTTATTATATATACATCCTGGGATTTTATGATAGTGATACTCCCCCGTGTTTGTTGCGTGTCCATCACAACTATCGAACGTCTCTGCGTTACTTCCCTCGACAGCGTTGTAATTTTCGGCCGTCAAGGGGTTAAAAATTGCCACACCAGTCTTGGAAATTCCGATTTTCCCCATGGGGAGACAACCATAAGAAGACTGGTCTTCCGGGGTGTTAAGGACGTTGATCACGTGATTTTGATCTGTGGGAGTGTTTGGGTTGACCATCTGCCAAGCGTGATCCGGCAATCCGCTAGCGTTGATCACGATTCTACATAGAAAAAAAATCATTGTACATGTATAGGGATTTATCCATGATTTACAGGACTTTAAACGTTTGTTGATAAGACACTAATGTATTGAAAAATAATGTTATGAATCTCATTGTTATATTTATTATCATTTTGGCTGAACAAACTTTCACGATTTCTTTCAATTAGTATAAATGAACTACATGTATTTCATTTGTAGATTGTTCGATATGTTTTTCTTGAGCGAATAAATTTAGATATGCACTTTAATATGTGAGTAAAATGTGTCGGGTATTGAAGCATTCGTTTGGTAATTTTATTCATTCAAGTTTATACTTAGCTAAAAATAGACAAATAATGTTTGAACTAGCAATTACAGCTATCATTACGTATTTTCTGTCGTTGTAGAATGCTAAATTTAACGAAGATGATAAGTCCCTTCCATGTTGTTCGATCAAATTTTCATAGGATGATATTAATTTCAATAAAGGTATAACAATACAAGATGTTTTATCTCCATTAAAGGAAAACCTAAAGGAAAAACATAAGGGGCACGTGCCCCCTCCCCCCTCCCCCACCCGCAATGATTTTGCCGATGTATAGAATACCCTATTGGTACTATATGCTTGTGCCCCCTCAATAATAACGTCTGATGACCTTCTTTTTGCTTGTCAAGGAATTTTTGGTAGTTGATAGTGCCCCCGACTGAAAATGTATGGTTGTGCCCCCCCCCCCCCCCCCCCCCCCCCGAACGAAGTGGAATTGCTTCCTACGGGTCTGTTTCCTATAAACAAATTAAGCGTTCTTGCTACATCTGATACGAGGTTTAAAAATATAAAAGGGTTTTTAGGATAAAAGTGAAAAGAATTTTTTTTCCTTTCACCGAAAACCCTCTTATAAGGAGTTATTTACATAAGACCTGTGTGCATTGCAATGCAGACTGTTTTGGGGAAGGCGGTATGCGCGACAGAGGCAACCTTGTAACAATTTTTAAGCACACATTTTGCATGGCACTCTTTTTATTGAATGGCTCTAGTGCTTAATTGAATGATTGTAATTTTTCCAAAATCATGGCTAGGGCCTGTTATAAGGTGAACATTTACTCAAATTACACTGAATGACTGATGGCCCAACGTAAATCATTTAACACTATCCATTCAAAAACGTTAAGTGTAAATCTATGGTTAGTAGAGTAGAACCATGCAACATGTAAAGGTTACATGTAGGTTTTATAAACAGTACGCATTTGAATAAAGCACCAAACGAACGTTCATATGCAATAAGAAAATATGACATACCGGGTAATGTGTAGAACATCGAGGGAGTGATGCAAAAGCATTTTGACTAACATTCAACGCAACGACACGATGTCTGAACAGGACAGAAATCATAAAAATATAAAATTTAAGTAAATTAAATGCATACAAGGGAAAAGGATAGTGAATGTCAAACCCTTATTACATGCTTGTTCAAATAAAAAATATTTTATAGACCTCCTCTAAGCATGTGGATAATTTAGGCATCAGCCGCACATCTAGTATTCATAAAGATACAATAAATAAAATCCAACATGGATTTCAAGCTGACATTTTAGCCTCCTTGCATGTTAGTAAACATATAAGTATTGATCTTCAAGCATATAGAATTCTTCATTAAATACGCAATTAAACAAACCACGCAATGATCTAATTGTGAACTGGGGAGCAGTATTTTCTGTTGTGTGAAGTTATCACCCTTACAATTTTAAATTACTTTCATTTTTTGCATAAATAAACAATTCTGCTAAATTCATTTTAAAGTAAAAAGATCAAGAATAATCATTTTATAATTTCTTTTAAAATGACGATAAGAATTTTCTCTTGTTATAGAATAAGTATTTTTCCGATTATTTTTTATTGAAAATAAACTAAGAAACATCTATGTATTATGAATATGTATAGTTTATTTTACAAGGCCCAAGAGTACGGACGGACAAGAAATAATTAAAGAGAGAGGGGGGAGAGAGAGAGTGGGGAAGAGAGAGAGAATCGGGCGGCGTAGAGAGTGTGACGAGAGAGAGAAAGGTTAGAGAGTGAGCAGGGGGAGAGAACAGGGTCAGGGAGAAAGGGTGGGGAAGAGAGTGTGGCGAGAGAGAAGGGGGAGGGAGAGAGAAAAAAATGGGGAAGAAAGAGAATGCGGAGAGGGATAAATGGGAAAGAGAGAGAAAGAGAATGGGGCGGGGTAGAGAGAAAGGTAAGAGTAGGCAGAGAGAGGGGGTAGAGTATGGCGAGAGAGAAAGATCTTGATATCGTTTAATATCTAAGATAGGTAACTTGAGTATGTTGCAAGTTCTCTACATGTTTTCTACAGCCACACAGTTCACAAGTCGATCTACAAAACTAAAGTCTACAAGTTTGTTGAATTTTGATAATACTGCTAAATCAAAAAAAATTAAATTTTTTGTTTTTCCAAATGTATTTCAAAAATTTTATATTTTCGTTTCTTATTTTAATTCTAACTTTAATAGTTTATTTTTTTTTCCAGTTTTATACCAATTTCTTAATGTCATTTTATTCAAAGACATTTAACGATTAGCGGGTTCAGTAAAAGTTCTTCTAAGCCTCTGTATTTACTCCTCCTAAAATATTAACAACAGTGAGGGAGAAACTTCATGAGTATATTGTGCAACAATATATTTGAGAAGTTGTGTTAATCAGGTGTGGATACTAAAAAACTCCAAGGAACGTTTGGAAAATTTAGAATCACAAAATTTTTCCCTAATCAAAAAACAAAAACGTACGCAGTACAGTTAACCCTTTCGACGCCAAAGCGACATAAATGTCGTTTACTGTGTCAACGCCAAACCGACAAAAATGTCGTTTTTAATAGATGTTTTACATTTTCTTTTATTAACCATATATCTTACGTGTAATTAAACACAATGATATTTATATTTTGACACAAGTATAGGTCTTTATTTTTACATAGGTACAGGTGTAAATATGACGTCATATTTCTTACGTTGACGTTAAATAATGACGTCAGTTTTTGAGTACGCTAGTATTGTAAATAAAGTTTGGTGCACTTTCAATTAGCAATTTTATGTTTCATTGTTGCCGGAAAGTTTTACACTTATTTTCTCCGAGCCTACATGCAAACATATTTTTGAGAGAGAGAGAGAGAGAGGGGGGGGGAGATACGTGTTCTTTATATTATAAGTGGTTCTTTATTTTGAATAACAACTTATAAAATGTATTGAGCCATTTTATTCCCTAGTTTATCATATTGATATACACGATAACACAGGCTCAGGTGTAGCGTCGATTTCCAAATGATTGTTGGGGGGGGGGGGGGCAGAGATAATTGACAAGCAAAAAAAATCCGAATAAAAAGCAACCGTGAAAAGTTCAACCTGAAAAAGAGACCCCAACTTTGTTCGGATATTAATACTGATAACATGGGATATTTGAAGCTACTACGACAACAAATGGAGGGGATGGGACAAACATCCCCTATATAAATAATTCTATACTAAATTAACACACAATTAAACGTAGGATTGGGGCACAAATTTTTGCAAAATGATTAAATAAGTAAATAAATTTTTGAATAATGGATCTTCAAGAGCATTATATTGTGTGCATAAGAAAATAACATTTACATCGTCAGTGATTTTAATTATGCTTGAAAATATGTATGAAAAAGAAGAAACAATAGATTACGCTGTAAAGAAAGTATGATTGAACTTCTGATAAAAGTTCATATGCGACATCTTTTGAGAATGAATCACTGATCTAAAAGGAAAAAAAATACTTTTACATGTAACAAGTGGTTATGGGTGTCATTCAGATATTATAAAAAAAAAAATGTTCAAAATCATCAACCACGTCACACCAATCGGAAGGCACAAAGTCAGTCAAGAAATCTATACATTATGGGAAAGATGAAAATTAAAGCAACAGTGATGATTTTAGCAAAAGAAAAAAAAAAGGGAGAAAAAATAACAGATTCGTGCAAAACTTTGATGACCGTATAATATGTAAGAAAGCGGTTTTTTTTTTTTTTTTTTTTTTTTTTTTTTTTTTTTTTAACTGATTATTTTAATAAATTAGCCCTGCTTGGACGTCGAGTTTCAACTCTGATATCTCGACACCCCGGATATCTCGACATTTTCTGAAATGACTTGTACATGACCTTTAAGAAAAAGTACACACGCACACCCTTACACACACACCTTTCTGCTTTTAGAGAAAAAAAAAACGTTTCTAATCCAATCGTGTGGTAACAACCAAAAATACAACTCATGTTCTGTAATTTCAAGATTCCGAGAAAGTGATATTTTTAGAATAATAACTATGAAAATGGCTAAGTCGCCTATGAAGAGAGTCGAGTACACCGATGGGGTTTCAAACATTAAATGGATATTGCTTAACTGCATTGCCATATACAAAAAAATAAACGTGTGTTGGACGTATTATTTAATTATATGTCCATTTTATGGTATCGAAATATGAAAAGCTAAGATGTCAGGTTAGCTGATGTCACGGAGGAAGATGAATAGGTGACCATAATTGCGTAAACATAAATTCAAGTCTCGCGAGATATTCAGTTTCAATTTCAGATTTAATGCAACTGTAATTCACTTTGCTCAAAAAAAGCCCAGCATGTGCATAATTATATAAAAAAGAGCCAAGAGCAGTACAAGTATATCTTTGATCATTTTTTTTTTATTTTAGAACTTTTCGTAAATCTGAGTTGGAAACCAGACAATCGTTGTAAACATATTAGTAATTAATCTCTCGCGAGATTTTTTTAATTCAAGGAATCCATGCAGAAAGGTCAATATCGGATCAAGCGCAATGCTACAAGGAATTCCTTTTCTCATAGGATTGAAATGACGAGCTTTAATAAGCTTGAATATGACACGTGACTGACGGCTATATTTCTATGTCCAGCAGGTGAAGTTAAATCACGAAGTTCAAATCATTCCGACATCATTAAATGGCAAGATTGAAAATATGCTGCTTACGTCATTTCCATCTGTTAGAGTCAAAACATTCATTTTAATGATAGAGAACATGGGATTGAAATTCATTTTCAATCCACCTCAGCTACTCTTGTACGCACTGTGTTAATGATAGATCCAGAAGACATATAATGTCAATTTCGGAATAGTTTGACATTTATATAAATCAGGTAGAGTTTTCTGTCCAATGTTTTTGTTTTATGATTGATTGATTATTATTGTTTAAAGCCGATGATAATCAATCAATCATAAAAAAAAAACATTGGACAGAAAACTCTGATTTATATAAATTTCAAACTATTTCGAAATTGATTTAAGAAGTAATAAAAGGACGACCATTTGATTTCGAAGGGGGGGGGGGCTAGTCCTTAAAAATAAGCAAAAAGTTTTTGATCTTGGAAAGCCCCCTCCCCCTTTTCCCGTTTTTGCTTGTCAACCGTTTTTCTGTGAAGAAGACTGAAATAAGATAAAATCTCTTGACATCCTTGAAATAAATAAACGATGTATTCTGAAGGCATGGACACAAATAAATACCCCCCCCCCCCCCTTATAATCAAATGGCCGCCCCATGAAAGAATACATATATACGTTTGAAATTGGATTGAAAATTCTTATCTACATAATTTTCAAACTATTCGGGAATTGAACGTATTTGACTTTTGAAGCATACATTAATACTTTGTCTATGAAATCAGCTTGAGTGGATTGAAAACCAACCTCAAACTTGAATTTCAATCCATTGTTTTCTCAGACGTCCGTGTCGAATTGTATCATTACCGATCATCAAATAAGATGGAAATGGCGTAAGATATATATTTCCAATCTTTCCAGAAACTGTTCCGCGGTCTAGGGAATCTATTTTACAGAAACCAATTTGCATGTTTTCTTTTTGAGATTTCAGTTTCGGCCCTTTTAAGAAATGATGTAGGGTAGTTGTGTCCAAGTGATAAGCGTCGAGAGCACAGGTAAAAGGAAAAGCAGACCACTTTTGATAGAGTTTGATTTACTTGGAAAAAACTAAGAAATTGACTAAAAGTTTCAATTTTCATGAATGGAATAACCTTTCACAAAACAATGTCTTGACATCAATATGCGCCTCTTTTTTATGTTTTTATTCCATATCTAGGACAGGCGAAGAAGTTGAATTGTATGAACAATGGAAACTTATTTAAGATATTTTATCAACGTATTTAAAAAAAATATCCGCTTGGAATTAGAAAAAAGATTTATTTTTTTTATTTATGACTTTTTATGAACAGAATAAACTTTAAGAAAAAAAAAATTCATGCATCATAAATTCATCTGAATTATTTTTTTCCGTTAGAATCCATCGGTGATACAGAGATACTTGGGTGTTGTTATCTTCTCTTAACAAAGCTAGAGGGGAAAAAGAAACACGCTTGTGGTGGGTGGGGGGATGCATGCTTATAACTGAAATTAATATTTTTTTTTATATCGGAATCAATTTGCTTTTTTGCGAGGGGATGGCCCGCTTTATGCGCGGTGCCCTTGTTTGGGTTGGATTTCTTATTTCTCTAAGGGCCATTCGTATATTCTTTTTTTTTTTTTTTTTTTTTGGAGTGGGGGGGGGGGGGTTGCTTTATATACTTTATTAATTGAGCTAGAGTATTAAATATAAAAAAAACCTTTTGTTGAATTCTATTATTTTTTCCGACTGAAAATAAACCGATTCCAGATCCTAAATTTCTAGACTCCCCCCCCCCCCCCTCCTCCCTTACGAAATAACTGCATCTGCCTCTAGAAGTATGAACTAAGGCGTCTTTTTCTTAGGACATACTAGTAGCTTAGAAGAAAAAATAAAATATTTTCTCAAGTTTTTATGTGTTAAAACGATTAAAATTATTTAAATAATTCTAAGAATGTTTAGAAACTGAATTTGACGCACGCGACATAATTAGGTTTTTAGTCAGTAACAGTCAACGTAATTTTGAAGTGCCTTACTAAAATGCTTATAAAATACTGAAAAAAATCAGATATTTTAAAAAAAGTTATTTATACATGTATTTGGATTCAGAAAGGGACAGGCTATTTAAGGACCCTTTACTCGTGACGGCAGTCATATATTTATAACATTTAATTTATTTTTTGAAAAAGCTTAAGATTAAACTCTCTTTTCCTTGCATATGCTAGCTACAGGATAAATATTGGCTAAATTTACTTTATGGCGATTAAAAACTACTGGAATGAATATGACTTTATTATACGAATTTTCCTTGAAAACTATAAACATCCTATTACATTGGTTAAACAGGTGCTTGTTACACTATCAATTTGACGCTTTTTTCTGAAGCAAATTATTTTACGTCTCAGTTGACGTCATAGTACGGCATCCATGACGTTATAGACGTAACTATATTCGGCGTCGAAAGGGTTAAGGTGACAAATGGAAATATCGGCGAATTTTTTAGACAGAAAACACATTCTTTACAAGGATGGGCGTTTCTTTTTAGGACTTTACTATTATCGGACAAATGTAATGTGGTTGAAAACTACATGTTGAGGACAATTAGATTTCTTATTTAGACTTGTCACGTGATGTGGCAGTCACGTGATTTTAGCAAATATACCTGAAGTATTGAGGTCATCTATAAATTCTAATATTGCAAGGGCATATCCAAGTTAAACATCTAAGTTTAACATATAATTATTTTCAACACTCTTTGTAGTTTGTGAAAAGTGCTGCGAACCTATATAGATTCTACTATCTAATTGCTAAAATTACATTTGTTAGACCGTATGTTGAATATTTTGCTGGTCAAGTACATTAAATATATATATAATTAATTCATTTGTAAGATTTCAACAGGTTCGCAGGACTTTTCAAATATCTTCATACCTCTTGAGTTTATGTGTAAAAGCTTGTCCTAATTCATTGAGGGTATGCCCTTGCAATATATCGATTTATTACGACCCTTCTATTACCCTTCAATGAATCTGCATACAAATATACGACAGTATCGCTTGTCTAGGGAATGTACAGGAAGTATATGAATAAAATCATAAAATAGACATCGCATCCAAGTTAATGGCCTCTTATATATCTACAATTTATATTTTATTTAATTACAAAATACATTTTTCATTGTATAAATATAACTTGATCCGCCTCTCACTGCATACAAACTGCGTCAAATTTTACAATATGACGTCACATTGACAAGTGCATTGCGATCAGTGAATTGTTTATATATTGCTGTGTGGGATTTAACCAACGACAATAATGCATGCACTAGTTAGTATTGTTGTAGTTTAAAGCTAATCAACAGTTTAAAATTGCAAATAATTTCATTTTGTGGTAATTTGAAGAACTTATATTTTTGTGTGATGTCATAGTAAGCATTTCCCGTATAAATTAGGCCCCGCCTCCTTACTGCAGCCTTAACTGTGCTGCGTACGTCTTTTCATCCCCATGATAAATTTGAGTCCAGGCTTTCTGACATCATTTACAGCTGCTTTTTCAATAAAAATGGAACTCCTAAAATTATTTACCTTGTCACTGGTCATTTACAAAATTATTTTGTTAAAGACATTCTGATTGTAAACAGAAGTACTATGAAGTTGATGTTAAAAAAAAGGGTTTGAGTTTCTGATTGACTAGTATATCTATGTGAATTTTAGAGACCATGTCTTCCAACAATCTGTCGGAACCCATGGGTACCAATTGCACCCCGTTATCAGCAGACTTATTTTTGTATTCATATGAAGCAGAATTTGTCCAAAATCTTACACATGAGAAGAAGAAAACACTTGCGGCCTTCAACTCGACATTTAGATATATCGACAACATATTATTTATTTAATTAACAATAGTTATTTTCATTCATATATCGACATGATATATCCCAGTGAGCTTGAAATTAAAGATACCACAAAGTCTGACGCATCTGTTTCACACTTGGATTTTTTTTAATAGAAAAAGACGTTAATGGTAACTTAACAACAAAACTTCATGATAAACGCGATGACTTTAACTGTTCAATCGTCAACTTCCCTTACTTATGCAGCAATATACCTTCATCACCTAGTTGATTCGTTATGAAAGAGCATGCTGAACAATTTCTAAAACGAGGTAAGTTATTGACAAACAAGTTGATGAAACAAGAATATCAACAGTCTCGTTTAAAGTCATCATTTTGTAAGTTCTGTGGTCGATACAATGACCTTTTGAGTAAAGAAAAAAAAAAAAAAAAAAACTATCGTTAAGTCAAATGCTGACTGACATTTTTCATACTAATTGTTAAGCCATTATTTATACACTGAATTGTTGATGGAATTTTCCCGTTATTTTCCGATCAAGTCAAAGAGCACACGGACGGTGTGACCGGTCGGCAGGGATGCTCACTCCTCCATGACACCTGATCCCACCTCTGATGTTTTAGAGTTTCTTGTTTCTCTGCTCCTGATTTGTATTGTTTGAATGGACTTTTGAGGGGTCAGATTTCTATGGGGTCATTTTTGAACGTGTGAGGAGTCGTAGAATGACCGGCCTGGAAGGGTTTTCTACGGTCGAAAAATGACCGTACTTGCCGTAGAATATTGACAGGGGGTCATTTTTCTACGTAGGAACTTGATCCCCAATCAAATTCTACGGTGGTCTCTTTTCGTCGTTACACCTGCAATGAATAACATCCCCAATGTTCTTTTGATATTTATCACTAAAATTTTAATTTGCATTAATTTTCATCTTTTACCCTGTGAACGACGAACAACGAAATCTGAATGAATAATGTTAAATTAAAGCCAACTGCAGCTTGTTTTGGTTGATTGACTGATTGTGTGTATGTGTGCTAGGAGAGAGAGAGAGAGAGAGAGAGTACCTGTTTTGAGAAGCATACGTTGTAGAATCGATACTAACTGTTGCGCTGTAGCTCCCACTTACACTGAAGGAACTAATTTCTGCGGAAGTCAGGGAGGTAACTCCCCCTGTACATAGGACTATGATCAGGGCCAATGTACACGAAATCCTTCCGCTGGCCATTCTCTGAAATCATGAAGACGTTTTTCTAATATGATATCGTGTAGTAATTAATAAGCGAACAATTACAATAGCATACAATTTTTAAACACAAACATAAATCAATAAAAAAATTGTATGCTACATTGTTAGTATTGCAGATTTGCATACATATTTTAATAATAATGAAAATAAGGGAAGCTGAGCCTGGATTCAGAAAATATTCATATCTCAATTCAATCTTTTTTATTAGATAATTAAGAGCCATTCTCTGTAATGACTTGAACTTTTATATAGGAGCTGTGGCACGCATAGTCTCAGAATTTCTCCAAACTCTCTATGATAAAAGTCTTTGATACCGTAAACTCAGATCAGGCAAAAATTGGTTGCTACGTGTCATGGTTACCATAGCAACATGTCTTAAAGTTCGAAAAATGGCATTTTTCAACATCTTCAGAGTCCCACAGTTAACGTTTGCAGCAAAGCACACAAGTGGCAATGACTGTTTCTGAAAGTTGAAGGCCTGATGTCTTAAATGCATGATAAACATGTTTGGTAAATCATCTATAACATACGTTACTATGGAAACAAAGTATTCAAAAGTAATAATTTTGTTCATTTAATTTTATAAAGTCATACACTTAAGAATGAAAACAATTATAGCTTAAAATGCAAGCAATTAATAGAGAAGAAATCCTTGTAACATATACCAAGGACAAAATATGATATTTCTTATAGGTTGGCAATGGTTGCCATGGTTTTAATACCACGAAGGGATTTTAAATTTACTCTCTTAGTGTTTTAATCTTATCCTATATTTTTAAAAAGCATATTTCTATATAACTGATGATCAATTTTTAAAGGCCTTGGTGTGACCCTAATTTTCACATTTCAAAAAATTCAATTTCAATTCTTTGAATAGTGCGTTGCTATGGAAATAAGGCGAAAAAACATGCATAAAAATCTGAAAAATACTCTGTTTCCTTGGATACGTACCTTTGTATGTAGATTCCCAAAACTTTAGTGATTGATATATGTGAACAACTAACCTGACTTTCAATTTTGACTTTCACCCAATCTCTAACTGGATGCAAAAAGCTGGCACATAGGGTCTAATATTGACAAAAAATTAACAAAATCGAACATTTTCTCTTCTTGGTAACCATAGCAACAGTGTTGTATTCTTCAATAACCTTTATCAATATATGATATTCAACATTAGTTCTACGAGATAAGTACTATTCAAGGTGATTCAAATAATATTTTTCTTGATTAAAAGGTTAGTAAATACCCAAAGCAGCAAAAAAATATCACTTCAAACAGCTAGTACATTGTTTCCATGGTTACACTGCCTAAGGATGCATATGTGCCAGTCATGAATTTTATTGTTTTTCCTCACGATAGTAGCATTAACCCAATCACAGATTTTGCATGGTGACACTGTGTTACCATGGCAACCATGAAAGTTATTTTTAGAATAATATTGCCAATACCTAATTACATGAGGTCAAATATTTTCCATTGTTTTTCTTACGTTGTTGATTGAGTTTGATCATGTAACATCTATCATTTGTGACTATAGAGAGTTTTTCAGCATTTTTCAGCATCTAAAATGTATTCCAAATGTACCCATGGTTACCACTTACTTAGAGATTAATTCTAAATAGTTTCTTTATAGCATAAGTGGCAAGAAGGTGTCATGTTTTTGGGAGAATGGTTTGTTTGTTTTTCTTAGTCTTTATTAAGACTTAATAAAGATTTAAAGTAGCTGAAAATCTCAATTTTTCAACTTTTCTGGCTGTTACCATGGCAACCAAGACACATAGCAACGAAATTTTATTTGATATATGTTTCTGGTGTCAAGTTGTAATAATGGGCAAAGTTTCAAAATCGGTGACCATGCGTGGCAAAGAAGTTTAAGTGGTTACAGAGAATCGCTATTAAATATTTAATAAATGATGAAATAAATGAGTTATCGTAATGCTTATGACTCGTTTATTTTCAGTCTACTCTTTCCATAGCTTCACCATTCCCCTATATTCACAATCTGTGATACGGACTACAGCATTTAAGTAATTATTTTAAGTTGCCTGGACGAATTCATATTTCGCACACATTTTTTCTATACCTGTAATTTGAATGTGTGTAAAACGGGAAGGAACCTTACGATTTTAATTGTCTGAAAATAATTTGGAATTTTGTGAGAATTATGCGATTGAAGCTGTGGCACTCTCATTCAGCATGTACATCTGCTTAAAAAAGTTAATATAGATTATACCGGTATACATATTTCGGCGATTCTTTTCATTTTAAGTTTAATTGATTTTTTAAGTATCTATAATGTAAATGAACAGAACTAACGAGATATCAAAGCAAAGACTAAATGAATATAAATACAAATGTAACTTTTTTTTATCCCATGTTTACCCCTTTATCCCGTGGATATGACTCATTGGATATTTTTTTCATAATCCACAGTTGTGACGTCACAATGGTTTTTGCGTTAGCGCGATGAAGTAAAATAAAGTGGAGTCCTATATAAAAAAAAGACATTAGTGTAAAATATTGGTTGTGAAGTATTAAACACGGGATAAAAAGAATCTCCCATGATTTGTAGTTGGATATGACTTTTATCCAACTCGTTGTGTGTTTTTGCGTTAGCGCGATGAAGCCGAGGCTCGGGGATAAAAAAACACACAACTCGTTGGATAAAAATCATATCCAACTACAAATCATGGGAGATCCTATATGTATCCAATATTCTAAAGATTGAGTAACTTAAGCATAAGAATGGTAGTGAAACAATAACATTTTTTTTTAAATCAAGATTGCGCACGATTCTCTTTCACAAACCGAACCAGCAACATCGTTAAATTGAACTAAATGAATATAAAGGATCAGACTTACACTAAATACATCATTTTGTTTTCGAATTAAAGTGAATTGAAAATTCCCGGTAAATATGAAATATAACAGTAAAATATCAGTGCAATACTGCCTTACCTTCAGCTCGAAGCGTTTGAGTATGGTTGTAATATTATATCGACTCATGAATTTAAATACCCGTATCATTGACACCTATTTACACTTGGTCACGATTCGACTTATCCTCTATGTGCACGTTTAAACAATAGATCAAGCACCCTAAAAGAACGGTGCCACATACGCGATTTAACTCACGAAAATGACCCATTTGATATTGTAGTAACAGAATTCTGGAAATGAAGTACTTGTGTACTGTGTGTTTATATATAATCATACCCGATATTTATTGGTCTGCTCAGTGCTCGTGCATGAAAACAATATCCTTTGTTTGTTGTCAGTCACGATTAGATCCAGTTTTGTAAATTTATGACCAAATTCTGATGTAACATGTAATATATTATACACGTACCTTCAATATTTCATAAACTTCATATCAAAAATATACTATTTGTATACCAACAAAGAATTTATTGATAATGTAGCGTATTTTTCAAAACATGATATGCTATTTAAAACCAAAATTTCAAATAAATTTGTCTTCTTTTTTTTTCATATTTTGATATAAGTGCGAGACTAGCCTATATAATTATGAGATTATGCATTTGATTTGAAAGATTTTCTTGTTGCTCATATAGTTTAATATAATATTACAGGTATCAAAATTAATATATTTATAATAATTTTTTTTCTTCAGAATTTTGGATATAATTGTATGGAAACCAGTGTGACCGTTCTTGCATTGTTTAGAAGAAGGTTTGTATGCCATTGATCGACAAAACTATCTCTATGATTTAAAATTCATGCAGTTTTAAAGATATGAAATCCAAGTATTTTTTTTAATTCATGAAAGTTATTGCAATATTGATACCAAACTTAAAGATATCCATATACACAGAGATTCTTTCATTAAAAAAACAAGAAGTCTTTGTTCATCTCATTGCTTTTAGCCTCGGTGAGGATCTCGTCCTTTTTAACGATTTTTTCAAACTTTTATATCTTCATATGAATAATAATATCCCAGTTTCTAAAATCAATAACCAGACATGCTTTCAGGGTGTAAGTTGTCTAGAGGTCGTGTACATGTATACAAGTAATCTATGTTGTTTATCGCTTTCAAATTTAATATATTTATTTTAATCTCTTTTTTGAGATTTTTTTGTTTGTCTATAAGTTCTTAAATTAATCATGGTACCAAATGTCACGTACGTGATTATTTAACTTGAACCATATACTGTAATTTTCTATAGAAATACATGTACATTGTACTAGCATATATTGAAAATGCGAAAATGAAGGTGGGTGGTACACATAGACTCACAACTCTTCACCAAATCACTTTTAAAATGAACACTTTCTCCAGTTTTGTAATGACGGAGAAAAATATGACATTTTCTTTAGGAAGAGCTCAGCTATGTTGTACAAATATTTTACTTTTAAATTTGTGTAAACTCAGACTGAAACAAGAAAAGTACAACAAACACTTTCTCTGGCTGGTGAAACAGCAACTATATCTGAATATGGCAAAACCAGAGACTCTCTATAAAAGTCTAAAGTGTATATGTAATATAAAAGTGGGAAACATATATTTTGCTTTCATCCACACAATACATGTACATGTATATGCAATGAAACTGATTCAGATTAAAGAAATATGCACGTTTTTAGCCTAGTTCATTAAAAATTATCGCTTGTTGAGTTTCCTTGATAGTAATTATTAGCTTTTCCCTTCGTTCTAAGTAAAATTTAGAATATAATTCAAATGTACAATTTTCCAATTTCCTGAACACAAAATAAATAAATCGGAAAAGGCATGTACATGTACATCATTTTTTTCTTCAAATAATGATTTAGATCAAAATGTAATGTTAAGCGGAAAAGGATACAAGAATAGCTCTAGCAGAAAAGGGAAGTCCTCAGTCACTTTTATTTGTAATGTAGGCTTTCATATACTATACATGGACTTCTCAGATGCACAAAGAACCGAGCTTTTAAAATGAAATATGGAGATAATGAACACCATTCAAGCTCAAAGTCATTTTATACAGTACAAATCGGGAGCAGAGCAAACATGGACCTCCAAAAACATCAGAGGTGGGATTAGGTGCCATGAATGAGTGAGCATCTCCTGCCGTACGGTCACACCCGCCGTGTGTTCCTTTTCTTCTTTTTGCTTAATGATAAGTTGTATTTGCTGACAAGGTCATTGTATCGACCAAATGATAACTTCAAACGAGACTGTTAATATCTTCGTTTCATCAATTTTTTTGTCAATAGCATGCCTCGTTTTAGAAATTGTTCATACGTAGAACATGCTCTTGCGTATCGAACCAACCATATGCAGGTGATAAGGATATATTGCCACATGAGTAAGGGGAGTTGACGATTGAAAAATTGAAAATATTACGTTTATCATAAAGCTTTGTTGTTAGGTTACCATTAAAGTCTTTTTCTAGTAAAATATCCAAATATGAAACAGATGTGTCAGAATCTTTGGTATCTATTATTTCAAGCTCACTGGGATAAAAATGAAATTATGTTAATTAAATATGAAATATTAGCACCTGGCAAAAATGTCATCGTCAAAAGAAGTGAATAAAATGATGGAAAGGAATTTTCCACAATATTTACGAACTTCATGCACGTTTTGATTTCTTTAGAAAAGGGAGGGATTGAGAGTGTTTGTTCTTAAGAAATAAAGAGATAGAAGTTTCGAGTGAAAAAGAGAACATTTTGTCCGGCTGGTGATTCAGAAATTTTATCTGAACATTGTAAAAGCAGTCTCACTTCTGCATACTACAGTGTGAAAATTAATACATATCGGTTACATTAATTAAATGAATTCAATAAAAATGATTTAGAATCTACAAAATTAGACTAAGTGCAGTAAAAAAAGTCACCGGGAAAAGTTTCCTTATAATTTCACTGCATGTGTTACTTTTAGAATATAATACAAGGATTCAATTTCCAATTTCCTGTACATATAATAAATGTGCCAATAAATGCATTTACATCACTATTTGAATGTTGAATTAGATCAAAATGCCCTACGAAGCGGATATGCATACAGTAATAACTTTGAAGAACAAGAAAATCCTAGATCGCTGGCAAAACATTTTATTACGAATGTATGCTTTCATCATATACTACACATGGACTACAAAGATGCAAAAGGAGCCGGGCTATTAAAGAATGAAACCGTGTAAATAAGACTTTTGTTACATATAATACAGTAGCACGTGGTAAAAATGTCATCGTCAAAAGAAGTGAATCAAATGATAGAAAAGGAATCTTCCAAAACATTACCAAATTTCATTCAAGTTTGGAATTCAACAGAGGATGAAAATTGGTCTGTAGAAAAGGAATATGCAAACATCTTCATTGATGATGAAGTACAAAAAGAGATGGAAAGTACCGGGTATGTATCAAGAACAAGCAATGTTCCAGATAAAAACACCAACTTGGATGAAATGAATTTTACACGCAAAGACGTATCCCAGGAAATGTCTGTTTCAAAAAGCGTTCATTCAGCTGATGCAGACGAAAAACAATTAGAGATAAATAATGCTTTGGAAGAAGAACCATTTGTTAATAGAGACTCGGATAATTTCAATGAAGAAGAGCCTCTTGTTCAGAAAGATTTGGACAATTTGGATGAAGAAGAGCTTCTTGTTCAGGGAGACTTGGATAAGTTGGATGAGGAACAAATTGTTCAAAGAGACTTAGATAATTTGGATGAAACCGACTATTGCGATAGTGAAGACGAATACGCAGAAAAAGAACAGACATCTAGTGTTATGGACAAAATCTTTAAACCACTTCCTAAAGAATTCCGCCATTTTGAAGACAAATACAGTTAAGATGATAGTTTTTATTTTACAAATTTACTTTCTTTTATTACAAATCAATCTTCCAAATTACCGTGTGAGTGTAGAAAGTAATTGCCTGACTAAAGCAAATACACTCCGAGAATGTTAACTTTTCCAACGACATAGAGTAACAAAAGGTTTAAACATACTTCAAAATATATACAAATATATTACTGCTAGCTAAAATACATCTCCTGATAACCGCACTTTCTTACAGTGTGGATGTGTACAGTGTGATTAAGAAGAATTCAAGCCATACTACTTAGTATGTCAAGAAATAAGATATCTTGAGAAAGTTAAATACATGTATTATTAAATAAAACAGTAGGTGCTGTTATGCTGTTTAAAATATAACCACTAGCAATAAGTATCATTCATTTTTAAAAATGAATTATTTAGATAGAAGAGTAGATGAAGACCCATATATACATACACTAAGGAATTCAATCAAGAAATTCGCAGAGGACAACTGTTTTGAGATTCATGATGGTCCATTAGATGGTGCTTGCATGTTTCGCTCGATAGCTGACCAACTCATGATAAATGGACGATTCGGGCACACAGCAGACGACCTGCGAGAAGAAGCTTTAGAGTAAATATCTCTTTCACTTAAATGTCAATAAGACGTAGGACCCTTTAATTGATCATGATTGATAGTGATGACTTGGTGTTGCTGATAAACAGCTGTATATGACCTCATTCTTAAACACGGTTCCAACTCTTGTGCGATTCGATACGACCATTCGTAGCTGATCGCAGTTTTTCCTCTGAAATTTCAGGCAATGGTTCTAGATGATGCGAGTCGTTACGTTCTTGTACAATTTTTTGCTCTTTGGTGACATCAGAGTAACCATTTAGATACATTGTCACATGCAATAAGTGATAGAATTCTCCCGATTGAGTCTATAATAGGATCTCGATCTTATACAATTTATTCGATCGTATTCCCCAATTTAGGATGATCGGGTACATGCAGGTACTTTTGCATAAGTTATGATATGTTAATCACCAACTGATGCGCTATACTGCAAAAAAATACGATTGTGGTTGCGATCTCTTTCACGATCAGGATCGAGAATCATCACGATTTGAACTACAGTGTAGGAACCCATAGGTTAAATATACAGCCCGACTGACCATGTATGCCTTTGTTTCTATACTGATGAAAATAACAACAAAACGTACGTGAGTAGAGATTCAAAAGGAAAGGACAAACGCAATTTCTATTTTTTTTTCCGGTAAGGTCCGTCGAATATATAACATGGCTTCACTGTTATTGAATCGAGATTTCCAAAAAGAGAATAGGTCAAGTATTACATATTGTACAATATTTGAGACACAGCAACCATCTTAGCATTGCATAGTGTTTGTCTTCTAAAACACTGATTCTGATGATCACGATTTGGTAACACGACTTGTTAGATGTGATATGTCGCTCTTCGATATAATGCAATACGTATGAGGCAATACGATGGACACGAATACAAGTTAATCGTATTGATCATAGAAATTGTTTAGACTATGTTCTCACTACCACTTATACGATTGAACATGTTGAACTTGAGATCACAATTAAATTTTAGTCGCGATCATCACATCAAATTGTATTGCATCGTAGCGAAACGCGATATATCGCATCTAATTGTACACCAAATCGAGATGATTGGGATCTATCATGGACAAAGGAAACACTACGTTATGTTGAGATTTGTTGTAACGCCCCACATTAAAATGAAAGTAAAACCTTGTCTTTTCGGAAACCTTAATTCATTATGGCAAAAAGAAGTCTTTGGTTAATTGTAACTTCATTTATATATATATATATATATATATATATATATATATATATATATATATATATATATATATATATATATATATATATATATATATATATATATATATATATATTAGGGATGTCAACGAATATTCGAACATTCGAATATTCATTCGATGAGTTGATATTCGAATATGAATTTAAGATTCGAATATTCGGTGTTTTTCAGATTTCACAAAAATAAAAATAAATTTTAATAAGAACAGTGCTGGAATTGTCCCCATTTTATTTACTAGCGATCCCCTGATTTCTTTCACTACTTTCTTATCTTTTAGATCTTCTAAATTATTTCATTTTGAGTAAGTATAAAAGAAATAAACAAGCATTATTAATGTATAACACAAAAAGTACTTTCAATATGATCGGATCTAGATCGAGGACAACGAAATGAAACAATTCTTGAATGTCTAAAAGACGTGAAGAGTGTACTTATGAAAATAAATTTTATTGATCATTTAAATACACCTTCCATAGAATCAGTCTGTAATATTGTAAAGGGCTCAATTTCAGAATAATGCATCAATTACTCGATTATCTCGGGTTGAATATATTCCTTAACTGTAAAAGTCATTATCGGGAAATTAATAACCTAGGACAATTGTTTATATGAAGGTGTTTGTTTATATTTTCAAAACATTGTATCAAACATTATATTATATCTCTTATTAATCAGATAATTGTACTTAATGACGTGTATTTAAAACTGAAGAATAAACGACAATCTTTCCCCTGGTTAGATTACTGGTTCTTCAGTTTGAGCTTGTATACATATCATTTGTTAAAATTATATTTCGGTTGTATACACTTAAATCAATTATTTATTTTAAACATTGACAAATATCAAATGTAAAATTCCTTATAGTATACCTACAAAAGTCTACATCAAATTTTACCTACAAATACCGACGCAACACCTGCCATGAGAGTTTGATGATGTGCATTTGAAATAAACCAGATTTCACTTATTTTATCGAATATTCGAATAAATTCGAATACTTTCATTGAATATTCGAATATGAATTATTGACAAAATTGACATCCCTAATATATATATATATATATATATATATATATATATATATATATATATATATATATATATATATATATATATATATATATATATATATATATATATATATATATATATCTACAACAATTTCAGTCACTGGGAACACTGTGTAACCAGTTTATGGAAGAAAAGAGAAGAATACGCTGATTGCTTCGATAAACTCTGTACAATTTACTATTTTTCCACAACTTACGGTTGCTCTAAAGTAAACCGTATTTAGCATACGTTACTGTTCGACAGCTCGATATGACGCAATCATTTAGCAATTCACAGCCCACTGACAATCCAACTATTGATTCGTTTTTCAGATATCTGCGAAGGAACCCACTGCTATCAGATGGGACGCATACCCAGTATTTCCTCTCAAAAGAAACATGGGAGCAGTATCTTCAGAGAATGCAACAGAAAACAGAATGGGGAGACCATATAGTCCTTAAGGCCATAGTAAACACAATCAACGTTAACATAGTGATTTTGAATGTCAAAGAAGATTCCGTCCAACGGACTGAGCTTTCCCCAGATAATAAAAGTATGGACTTGTGGGGAATAACCTTGACCTTGGGGCACTTGGGCGAGTTCCATTACTTGAGCTTGAGGCCAATACTATGGAAAAAATACTGGCCTTTCAGTAAGTTGAATGAATGTTTGATTTTAACACAATCATATCTTAACATGTAAACATTACATTATAAATCATTCCTTATTTAACAATATCAAATACCGTAAGAGCCTATACATGGTCATAGAATGTTTAAAATTTATCTTTTTAATTCCTAAATGTTAAACCAGTTGATTATACACCAACGTCACTAGAATTGTTTCACAAATAATATATTTTATTCAATTTGAATAGAGGCAATCTTATTAAAGCTACAGTCGAGCTTACATGGGACATCTTTTACCTTAAGAGATGAGGTTCTTAGAGCCAAATTAGCAAAAATGGGAATAAAAAAGCTTATTGAAGAGGCGGGATTCATTGATTTGAGACCAAATGCACATGATAGCCCAGAAAACTCATCCAGAGAAGGACATTACTCAGCAACTTCAAACAACATAGACACTGTTGAAAGCTTAAGTAATCAATTTGAATTCTCCCAAGGTAATTAATTATTACTTTTAAAATCTTAAGCTTGAGATCAATATATAATGCATGTAAAATTAATCATTTAAGCTCTGATCCATCGGGCTGGAGTGGGTATAGAAAAACTCCGACAATTCTTTCGTTTTTAAGGTAATTCCATTCTTATGTGATGCCCATAGCTTCGTGCAAAATCTTTCATTAATTGAACTTCGTGTTCCATACAAATATATTTTTGGAATAAAGCTTTTGAATAAGTGTAATTAAAAATATTGTTTGATAAAAGAATAATTTTATTTAAAAAAAAACTATAATTACTCGATTATTAAAAATATGCGAATGGCAATAAATCTTACCCATGTATCTTTATTCATGTATTTTCTTTATTATACTTTTATTGTGAATTACTTTCCCTGATATCCACAATTATTTAAACTTACAAATATTTGGAACATTCCTTTTAAAAAGTTCTCATTTAAATCAATTTTGAAATGATTCTGATAATACTAATACTGTTAACGAAATACGAGAGGTTTTTTGTCTTAACAGATACTTCTGTACCTTTGACGCCTTTAAAAGGGTACGGCCTGAACATTTTTTGTGATTATTAATGTTTTTAAAATATATCTAGAGGAAATAAATGCAGTTTTTCATCTTTGAACCCATAAAATATCCTTAATAATCAGAAATTCTGAATAAAAGACGATGTAGGCATGCTTTTTCATTTATGTTTAGTCATTCCTTGTTTTTATTTCAGAGAGTAGATCTTTGGTGGAGGATTCACTGCATAATGATACGCTATCTGGAGTTAATCTCTTCAAGCTTTCATACTTTCTCAAGCATTTAATGCCTTTCAAAATGATGAAAATTTACACTCCCGAGTTGCCGCAAAGAATGCGCCATTTAGATTTACCTATTGTGTATGAAATCACAGGTGCTTATGCTGATCGATCGGATGTTGCTCTCCGGGACATATCAGTCACAAAGACGATGTGGATGCAACATGATGAAAAAAAAGTTAAACAGCCAGTCTTGATTGCTATGGATTTAGAGGTAGATGTTCAGCATTCCAATCATATTTGTGATCGATTTCATAAAAAGACTGTTTACTACGCTGACTTAAATGAGACACATCCTGGGTACTGTCGCCTCAGAAAAAGTCTAGGAGACACTTTCCATGCAAAATGTAGAGAAAGCAATTACTTTGCAGTCGATGAAAAAGAATTTACATTAAGCAATCTTCCTTATTATTGTTACAAAGGTTTTCTTTGTCACTCACTTCCTCCTAACTTTAGAGATTGGAAATATTCAAGTTGGCCCTCTGAAGCAGTGAAAGAAGCACTTCTAATTTTGAAATGTGCAGTATTTCCAAAATCCCATCCCAGAAGTGAAAAACCACAGTATGAATGGAAATACAACTTCTCCATGGCAGAAAGATGTCTAATGAAAGACGGACTTACCCCTTATCAGTGCCATGCTCTGTATGTGCTGTGGATCATTCTTGAAAATATGACCATGCATTTGCAGAAGCCAATTAAACGCAAACACTTGAAAGCTGTATTTTTTAATGCTTGTGAACAAATTCCTGAACATGCATGGGAAACAAACATTGGCGGCTGCCTTCTCTTTGTCATCAGTTTGTTACTGTCGTGTTTGAAAAAGAGATTCTTACCACATTATTTTATTCCATCAAACAACATCATTGATTGCTATTCATCGGAGGAAATTGATACGTTGTGTGTATATGTAGAGGCCATTCGTCTTTTTCCAGTTTTCACCATCCAGAGCATAGCTGAATTTCACGGATACATGTTCGGAAGAAAGCTTTCAAATCTTTTATTCGGAAACATTTCACCGAAAGGTGTAAAATCTCAATTTATTTTGAGAAACAAAATGGTATGCTGCACTATCGAGGCTGTCAAATTTTACACGCGACGAGGACATTACGGAGTTGCATCTGAATTGCTTCGAGATGCCCATGAATGCATGTTACTTGGTCCAGAATCAGAAGCAAATCAGCCAGGCTTTCTTGAATTTATCATTGCTGCAATTGAAGAACTTTCCCAGAGATCCTCCCGCATAATTCTCGCTAAACGTTTTGAAAAAGAACATCATCTAGATATTTCTGACAAATATGAAGCCAAGAACAAGATTCTTGCAAGACATATTCTACCATGGGAAGTCGATTATAGACTAGCCAGCATTGAAATTCCAGTAAATGAGGAAGTGAATTTCAGATTTCTAGCAGAATTTTTCCACTCAACTTTTCAGGAAAATTTGATCAGAAAACGAAACGCATGTCTTGCTTCTTTTGCCATTCAAACTGCCGTAAAATGCATAGATGAGGCGGTTAGTGCTGACTATTATGCCTCTAAGTCTGAAAAAGATAAGAAACCTGATATACTGAAGAAGAAAGATTTAAGCGAATTAAAACAAGAGAAACTGCATTACCTGGTAGATGTGTACAAAGTGTCGATAGCCTTAGACTCTGTCTATCCTATTCGAGATTATGTACACGAAGTAGAGGATCTCTGCAAAGATCTTCCAAAATACACGAATCTTTTAAGAGCAATGTTGCATTACACTGGTGACCATAAAATGTGCAAGGGATTCAACAAAAACAGCCACTTTTGGGACGGTAATATATTATATTTGACATGATTTTATATTTTACGAAATATTTGATATATTCCTTATTAGCAATTGGAAGTTTCTATAAAACGTAAAGTACGACGTCACAATGAATGTCAAAACATATATAATTATTAGGGATGTCAACGAGTACCCGGTTAACCGGGTACTCGATCGAACGTCCGAGTATCGAATACTAAAAATGGTACTCGGTTACTCGGATGTGTATTTTTTCTTTTTCAAAGTACATATTTTTATCAAAAAATAACTTAAATATGCATCCGGTAATTTGCGTTTCGTCATCTCAACACCTGTAAAACACCCGTTATCGCCTGTGGCTATGTATATACAGTAATTAGTGACCAATCACCCAGCTGTTCTCACCTATTGTGGTCCTCAATATTGATTGTTTTCAGTGAACATCGATGGTCTATTATCTACAAATCATTTTAAAATTATTCAGTTAATATACGGCAGCGAAATCGGACATGCATAGAAATGCCGCTACCCACTTCAAAAGTGAAAAATATTTAGAAATAACTAAAGATTCAAAAAAATGTTGAAAGTCACTTTGCGTAGAAAGTTTAGTGTATACGGGGGAAACAATCAACATATGAAATAATATTAGACTAGCGATCCCAACAACGTCCATTCCTTCTCTTTCGCTAGTCTAATCATCAGAAACATGCACAACAGATTGTCCTCCTCTTGATGAAATAGATCCAAAACAAGAACTGTAAACTGTTTTGTAATTTTTGATGTATTAATTGCGTCGTTTGTCTTTGATAAATAAATTTAGTACCAAAAATCATTTCCGTTGGAATCGATGTTTATATACATTTATAAACGTGATGAAAAAGCTTTGGGGTTTAACAGAGCTTAACGGGGCTCAAGAAAATCAACAGACTTGTATTTACATTTTTTACCGAGTACCCGGGTACTCGATCGGAAAAACGTCCGAGTAACCGATTATCAAATATTGACCGATTTGACATCCCTAATAATTATGGTAAAAAATGTGGAATTAAACGAAAAATAATATAAGTGTAAGCGGTAAATGTAAGTATAAGCGTTAAATAATTTATTTCTTGTATTGCAGGGTGTCATAAACTGTTTTTCTTCCCGCGAGGTGCAGTGCATATAAAATTGTCATTATAAGCTAAAGCGCATAATTCAACAATTCATATGCATGTGATTCAGCAAATAGTCATCAATATTTTCAAGTAATATATAAGCAAATTACCAAGGACTCAATCTTAAAAATGCAGTATACTTTATCTTATTTCAGATGAAACTAGTTTGCAGGAAGGATTACCTCATGTTCATTTTATCCACTTTTCTTAAGGATAAAGAAAAGACACATTTTATGCAGCTAAGGAACCAAAATTATATCTCGTAAAACATTAAAATATTAAAAGGAGGATACTTAATTGTTGCAGGCATGTAATTATTATCTAAGATACTTTTTGGCATTTTTCTACAGGAGACACACTACATGTACATGTAACTATTATATTAGTGCCCTGCCATTGTCCTTACATTCTAATGTATATATATAATCTCTGTCTTACGATTCAAATGCTTTCCCAGCAAAGATTTATACATCTCATTATCATACAATGTGAAACTTAATTGTTACAGAGATTCAATATAATTGTTTAACATTTACATGTCTTCCGCTTTTAGATATATTAATGTATATTTTTAAGAAATTGTATATATTCTTTTCTTTTTTGTTACAATACAAACGATTGTTATTATCCTTCCATCTTGTACACTTGTCGAACCTGACCGGTAAGAACAAAAGATTTAAAAGAAATATATGATATATGGCCCCTCTGAGAACAGAAACCATGCACGCTCTCCATGCAGCAGTACCGTCACCAGGTTTGGGGGGGGGGGTCGGAGGGATTGCTTAGAATGTTATTTCTATAAAATAGGTACCATTTTGGTGGGTTCTTGTGCATTGTGAAGCATTTTTGAAATATTAAACAATAGGGAGATTGGATAATTACTTCTTGGTTTTTGCTGGCTCATGGCGCAGTCTTCACAACAATTTTTTTTTTTCAACGCATGCCCGTCGGGCATCTCATATACTACTTTTACCAAGTTTACATGCCTTACTCAAAATTTAACTTCATGAAATTAAAAAAAATGCTGTCTTTACAGTGTATGAACCATTGTTTATACAAGAATGGACCAACAACCAAAAATTTCCAAGAGTGAAAAATATTCTTTCGGGTTGTCAAGAACATATACTTTTTATTGCTGTAATGCATTACCGAAAATTTTGAAATGTAGTAGTTTATCATTAAGGAAAAACCTGCATGCAGTTTTTAACATACTGAATTTGGATTCCATGTGAAAATCCTACAGTGTAATTACAGTTTGTGTACACAGTGTGTACACAATGTGGCATGATTATCTCGTGCATTTCAACAACAGTAGAAAGACGACAGGGATTAGTTAGTTACGCTTCTTTGCATATGACACCTGTGAAATTGATTTCAAAATGTGTATGCACTTCTTTGGTAAACTTATTTAGTATATATACTTGTGTGTTTTAATGATATTGTTACATTAGGTAATAAAAAATAAATTTCACCTATTTACTTGACTACTGACGGCATATTTATTTGGTACATTAAATACATGTATAAACAGGGCTGTTAAAAAAGGTCAGTGAATCTACAATGAATAATAAATCTACCAAAATGTGGTAATCATTGCTATTTTTGAAGAAATCTGAATTGAACGTTGAAAAAGGGGGGGGGGGTAACGATAACTTCTGACGTAAATGTAATTTCTTTTGATTTTATTTACCGGGTATTTTACTAAACTAATATTCAAATTTTCACACACAAAAAATCAAGAAATGCCAATTAGAAACAAAAAGGGAAAAGGAGTTGTCATGGAATAAAATACCGTACATACTTTAATATCAGAAACGAAAGTACAGATTGCAATCCACTGCGTAAAATATTTTTACATAAAAGTCAGTCTATAATGGAGAAAACATTACACATGCCCAGCGGACATGTGAATCTTCATTTTTTACATGCCCGCCCGCAATTTTACCAGGTCCCGGGCATCGGACTCGATCCCGGGTTATTTCGAAGACTGATGGCGGGTGTGACTGGTCAACTTACTTCTCCTAGGCACCTGATCCCACCTCTGGAATTTCCGGGGGTTCGTGTTTTGTATCCTTTTCACAGATTTGTATTGTCTGTAGATTTTCTTGAGATCGATTCCGTTCCCTATCTTCATCTTTTTCAGGTACGTTGTCTTGAATCTTTTTTCGCTCCCCCCCCCCCCTTAAAAAAAAAAAAAACAACGATGCTGCAAGTATGTTTGCGCCAGTTCCAGAAAAAAAAAAAGATTTGTTGAGATCTCAGGAAAATAGGGGCCGTAACAGAGGATTAACATTTGATTAAAGAAAAAAAAACGAAAGCTTATAGAGATAATTTGAATGGTTTTAAAATCCGCATGAAAGATTTAAAAATTTCTGAAGAAATAAATATTCAACATCAAATTTTTATGCAATTTTGTAAATCGTTTTATGTCTTCTGATTTTAAAATATGTCAAATTGAATTTGTTTCATGGCAAGATTGTTTAGATTGAAACTATTTTGCGTTGAATAAAGTAATCGAACTTTAAGAAAATTAGTCCTATCATAGAAAGTTGTGAAACTTCAAACAATAAATTGAGTCCTGACCACATAAATTCGCCTGAAACGAATACTTAGAGCATTCGAAATGCTACCTTAGAAAAGACTTCTAGGTGCAAAAAATGAAGATAACAAACAGTGATCGATGTCAAAAAAAAAGCAAAACTTTTTTTTTCTCTTCTGCCATAACTTCAAATTGGGCTTCAAACATGTTCAACGGAGGATGAAAAAAAGAGAGAAAAAGCATATAAAACTGGGGGAAAAAATGAATACAGAGAGAAATCAGATAAAATCAACAGAAAAGGTGGAGGATCAATGAAAAATTTTGCAAATTGATAATGTTGACTGAATTCTACATTACATGTATTAATTTCCTCCTTTAATTTAAAATTATTTCCCGTATTACCAACAACGTTTCACAATCTTCCTTGATATTAAAATAAATTAAATGAAAATCATGTCAAAATGTTTGGTATGAATCAAAATCTATCTATAAAAGAAAAAGAAGAGATCAAACAAAATCTTTTCAGAAGTTTGTCTATTTTTAAAAATAATAATATATTATGTTAATGTCATGAAAAGCAGTTCCTATTAACAATTACACTGTATGTAATTCATGCGACTCGGAATAAATGGCGTTCGACTTCATATCTAGCCGTTCGACTTATGGTCGAATGTGTTCGACTTACGATCTATTTTGTATCTCGGGCTTTTTCCTTTAATAACAATTGTTTCATTCAGTTGCCACAGTAAACAACACGCTAAAATGACGCCTTAGGCACACATTTCGATACATCTCTGGGTTTATGACACGCATAATGTACCCTGTTGTCAACACTGTCGGTGAATATAGATAGGCGTTCGACTTGCGATCAGTTTACCCTATCTAATGAAATTATATTGTTTCAAAAAGATATTTTTGACTTTTTATGGGTGCCGTCGCACCTTTTCTGACGGTCCTGTCCAGGATAATATATCTAGCAATGAAAAAAAAATATAATTGACAACATGAGGTATATATTATTAAAAAAAATGTCACGTGTGAGGAATGTACATGTATGCAGGTTTTACTTATGGTTAATTTCTTTTGTTTTATGTATTCATGTATAATATTTTTTGTGTAAAATTCAGTATAATAAAACAAATACTCGTCAGTATTGCATGTATTTCATGGTCTGAAAAATTTATTTCAACTCTCAAAAATCAACTTGAAAACAATTATAATTGTTAACATCAGCTGTGTCCCGATTGACAATGGTTTCTCGATATGAAAGAATTTATTGTTAAATTCAAGACAACTTAAGTAATATTTTAATTTTATAATTATATGTGCACTTTCTGACAAAAAAGATAATTATAATTGTTATCCCCATCCGTCGGTCCGTTACACTATCTTCCTCAAACTCCTCCCATAGTCAAAGCAGTGGTCAAATCATATCAGGAGATTTGTCCTTTACATTTAGATGAGCAAATATTTCATTTTTATTCTTGGGATCGATTACTGGTGTTGAAATACATCTTTTTTCTAAAACAAGAACTTGGTTCTTAGATGTAGTTCTCGACTAATTTCTTAAGCGGTATAGCCAATCATCTTATGAAGTATGATTCGTGATGTAATGTAGATATGGAAAAAGATTTCGGAATTTTACTTTTATTAAAGCCGGGGGGAGAAAGACGTTTTTATACAAACACCTAGTTCCCAGGAACGCCTTCTAAATTTTACGCAGTAGCCAAATTATCATAATGATTTTGGAATATTTAAAAATGGTGTCTTGTAGATGTGCTATAGAGTTTCGGCATTTCATTTTCATTTTGGGGCCAAAAAAATTTATACATGTATTCAGTTTGATTTGATATGTGCATATTTATGCTAATTATAATATGCCTATTTTGGCTTGATGCATATACTCAGCATAGATGATACGTATAAATTAAATACACCGACTGATAAAGCATTTATTTCTAAAAATTAAAAATTACAAGTATATTTCTTTTAAATCCTTTCTTAAGTATTCAGTTCCTATGAATTTTCCTTTGTTCTCAAGTGTAAAAAGTATAAATTAAAAATAAAATGGGGGTGGGGGTGCGGAGGAAGGTAATACTTCCAATCAGGATATTTCCTTTGCTGTAAAAATCTAATCAGAGTCCATGCCTTAATTTTTGCTGAAAATTTCTCTTTACTATAATGTATTCGACCCTCTTTCTTCCTCGGACTCGTAAAAATGTTATCCCAGTCAGACACTTTATTTATGATAAATTGCATTTTAAGACTGATTTTGTTTGTCTTATCAAATTTTAATAACAATCCGAAAAGTATCGAAGTTTTGGTGTAGATCCGCCACTCCAAATTTATGAACGACCTATCTAGAACCGTACGCAGCCATTCCGGGATTCGAACAACATAAAACATTGATTGGGAAAGCAACCAACTAAATAAAAACCAGAATTTGAGTTGTTTAGAGTTAGTGATCCCCAAATGAAAGGTAAGGTGAATTCCATGAACTGTCTCTTTATAGATATTAGAGAAATCATGTTGATTTGATGTCTTTGTAGCATATTTTTAGACATAAAATTAGCATTCGAACCCAGATCCGCCTTTGGGAAGGTCATGGTCAAGATAATTTATTCTGTAGTTTTCTAAAAATAAATTCTAGACAAAACTTGCATTAAATTGCATACAATTTTCAGTTTTGAATGTTTCATTTAGGCATAATTTATGTAAAGAATCATTGTATTGAATATTGGAAATTTATACGAAATCCTGATTGTTTCGACTAGCCATGGCATTGTTTTGTTTACATTTGCGGAAGCGTTGGCTGATACTAAAACACGAAAGAAACCATTTGAACTGCATATTTGATTAATTTTATTTTTTGTTTGTGTGTTTTTTTTTCTTTAAATTTTGAATGTGCCTGGAATTTACTGATGTCTGAAAAAAGATACATGTAGATAAAAAAATGTTATGTATATACTATTAATTCTTAAATACATTAATTTCTTATTCATGTAGTTTCACTTCACCATAATAGACTCTGGGAGAGTGCTAAAACCAGATGTGCATTTTTATGTTTATTGTTAGTAGTTTCTTTAAATGGGTTTAAAATAAAGTATATAAAAATCATTTATTGAGTGTTCAATCAAGATATTTCAGTATCAATAAATATATGAGACATTTACATAATTAATTATCAGCTTTTGCAATTAAGATGCTATATTGTAACAGGAAAAGAGAAAATGTATATCTGGACTGGGAATCGAACTCAGGACACATGCATCATTAGGTTCTCTAACCACTACACTACCCAGGCTGATATTCATGGGTCAAACCACTACATTCCTCCCTCTTTATATCCCCTTTTCCCTTGAGGACACTCAACCCAGATATTTTTTACCCTGGGCAAAACTTTTACGTGAAAGTCAAGGGGTGGTCAACAAGCACAAAATTAAGTATAAACAGAAAAGGAGAAAATATTATGCCTAGACCAGGACTCGAACTGGGGACCCCTCCATCACTATTCAGGGGCTCTAACCACTAAGCTTATGTGTACCCATGCTGATATCCATGGCCCAAATAATTATACTATAAATGAGGAATGGTGGAACAGAGATAGGGAGGAGTGGGGGAGGAGACAGAGAAATCAGAAATCGAGTCACGGTCAACATGGTCAATATAATATGCAGTAGTGAATGATGTCATTTTCTGGAAGTTGTCAATAAATTTATAACTTAATATAAATATGAAGTAACATTATCATATATGTACATGTATCATTTAATATATTTTCATTTATCTCTTAATATCTTAATTACTATTTGTAAGAACCCTGTAAGTCTTTTTCCTGTGAAATGAGTTTAACTGTAACTGTAAAAACAGTTAAACTCAATTCTTAGTAGAATGAAAAAATAAAATGTTAAAATCTACTTCACAAGAATATTAATATTGAAGAGAAATGGAGGAAGGGGGTTAAATTAAGATATATTTTACTTTACCATAACCAGATTCACCAAATTATTTGCAGTATTGAACATCTTCATCTTGGAAAAAAACCCATAAATTGATCAGACACACAGAATTTATCCAAAATACTTTTTCTGAATCAAATATATGTCTTCTCAAAACAGTAAAATGTGTAAAAAAAAAATATATCAGGTACATACAATTTGAATTTCACTTATTATTTCAGTAATACAAGTATAATATAAATACATACTCGTATGTTACTGTAGAATCATCAAATTTCATTGGGACCAATTTTGGTGGATTGCCTAAATTTTACAGGTTAGCGGGGGCATAATTTATATTGACAAAAGGAAATATGACATTGAAACCCTTCCATGTTAATTCATGGAGGATGTATATTAATAGATGAAGGGTAACCACAAATTACGCAGTAATTATTATTGAGCCACCACAAAATCTGATGATTCCTCAGTATGTATTAAAAGTGTGCATGAAGTATTCCCTGCTTTTTTTAAATTTTATTTTTTTTGTTGAATTATTTTCATGATGTAAACTGTTGAAGTGGAAAATTTCATCACTGTGTCAAAATTGATCCAAGATGTGAATCAGTAGTTGATTTTGTTAGATGTTGACCTTCATATAACAATATAATTAATAAACAAAAATCATAATTTGTTTAATCTGCAAAAAGAACATACTTATATTTGAAAGTATGCTACAAGGAACATTTATTTACTAATTTAGTAAAATTGAGCACTGTTAGTGTTACAAAAGAAAGATAACTCACAGTCATTTAAATAATAAACAAGTACCATCATCTGTATAAAATCTTTATAAAAGCTATAAATTTTCATCATGATCACAATTATTTATAATATATGTAACTTTGAATATTACAAACAGGAGCAAAGTTAAACAGATGTCCAGATTGTGTATATCTCATAAGCTAATTTCATTTCTTTATTAATTAATTATTATTAAATTTAATAGTGATTTTATAACAGATCCAGAAAGTACAGAATCGAAAGTAAAGCTGCATTAGTATACATTTCTATATATACATGTACATCACCCATGTAAGTTTGGTGCTAGCTTGCTCTATATTTTTGAGGCTAATTTGTCCCAATTAATTTTGTGTTTTAAAAACGTGTTATTGTTGTTGTTGTTGTTGTTTTTTACCTTAATTGATTTCGCGAAAGGAAAAAAAATCAATTTGATGCCATTATCTCATATTAATATGATTAACACCTCTGATGTTATTTTTAGCCGAAGTTATTATAAATTAAGAGTTTGCATAAGGCCAAATAAAAAAATATGTGTGGTTCCGGTTACACCTCCAAACAAATTAGGGTAGGTAGGTAGGTTTTTTTTTTTTTTTTTTTTTTTTTTGTGGATATAATAAACGTCAAAAATATCATTGAATGTTCTTGAATTAACTATTGGTGATATTGGTGAGATAATACTATTGCTTCCTTTCAAGTGGTGACATTTGTAACTGACAAAACACTTGTACTACGTGTTGAAACGATGTTGTCAAGGAAGGCCACCATTGCTGAAACTAAAACTAATTCTGGAGCCAATGAGGGAAATCGGGGAAAATTCCGGAAATTTGAAAATTGTCAAAAAAAAAAGTTTAGGGTCGGGGGTATAAAATAGGGACGGTCGGGAAACCGGAACCACACATATTTTTTTATTTGGCCTAAGACAAATTATCAATGACACATTTAATTCATTGTCTATCAAAGTACTATATATATAATTTCTTTAACAGGTTGGAAACAAACTGAAGTCAAAAGAACTGCACCTGTGTGGAAGCTGGTTGTGCTGTAGAATGGGCTTTCTCTAGTCCATCCTTAGCTAGAATGTTGGTGTTTATTGTATCAGGTTTGACGTTTTGTGTTGGGATAAATTAGATAAAAAATGTGAAAACAACAAAATTAAAGTAGTTTCTAAGATAGCCAATTACAAATAGAAAATTGACTTTCAAATATGGATTCCCAAGGAGGGCACCATGATCCTATCAGGGATATTTTCTCGAATCCCCGCCTTTGGACAAATGGGAATTCTCGTGATAAGATGGAGGCTATGTCAAAACTTGATTCCATATTATATAATACAATAAACACCATGGTTAAGAATGAGCCACCAAGTTCTAATGAAAGTATGTATAATCCACAGTCTTTTAGCCTACCACCAGGTAGAGCAAACCCATATTTATTGAATTCACCGGCAAGAAACTCAAATGACCTTCTGAAAGCACCTTATGCTAAAGAAGATGAAAGTCTGCAAATTGATGCCAATCATTTCACAACAAATGACATCATGTCCAGCTCTTCAAGGAGAAGTCTTGCATTTAAGAAAAAGTCCAGTCTTCCAAAGGAAGTTCATAATGACATGGATGCCATGTTTGATGAATATGGGAAGAATGCAGAACGTGGACAATCAGAGCCCTATTTGCTGGACCAACAACTGTCAGAGATTCAGGAACAATGTCCTGATGAGAATCCCTTCCATCTCGCCAAAAATTCCAATCTGGAGGATGCACATAAAATGCAAATTTATACAACATATTCAGGCAACAGTATGTTTATTGAATTGGGAAATCATTCAAGTACTGTACACACTGAGGCTAAAGATGCAGGTTTACAAGATACTGAAACATACGATCCAAATAGTCTTAGCTCTGTTCTAGTGGACACTGAATATGGAGGCAAGCAAAGTGAAAGAAATCAAATGGACTTAAGAAATGAAAATGCAATAACTGATGAACAGAACCGCCTGAAGCCAGTGAAAGGCACAAGGAAATATTTTATCAAAATTATTAATGGAAAGAAGTTTCATGAGTGTTCAATGTGCACTAAACTCTTCAGGACCAGAGCAGAGAGAAAAGCTCACAACAAGATGCACAAAGAAACTATTATGGATGTTGATGTTAAGATAATTGATGGCAAGAAATGGCGGGAATGCTCAGAGTGTTTTAAGCTTTTTAAGACACGCAAAGAGTTACGTATTCATTTTCGCATTCATTCCAATGAAAAACCATATTCCTGTGAAGTATGTGGCAAAGCTTTTAAGCAAATTGCTCATATGAATTCTCATATGAAAATCCACTCTGGAGAGAAACCACACACCTGTGATCTATGTGGTATGAATTTCAGTGAACGGTCAAGTCTTAAGCGTCATATCCGTCGACACTTAGGGATACGCCCATTTCAATGTGAAATATGTGAGAAGACGTTTTATACAAGCACTACATTAAAATCTCACAAAGAATCTCATGAAATTCGTTTTGGAACTAAAGAACGTTACAATTGTTCCATTTGTAAAAAGAGTTACTCTAGGAAGGAAACTTTGAATAAGCACATGAAGACTCATGATCCAGAACAAAGGATAACATGTGAACAATGTGGGTGCTACTTTCTGACCAAAGCTCACCTAAAGCGACATCAGTTGACACATAAAGTAACTGAAGACACAAATCAAGATTACAAGAAGTTCTTTTGTGGTGTTTGCGAGAAGAAATTTTCCACTGATTGTCTCCTTAAATCACACATGATAACTCACAAATCCGAGAGGGATTTCATGTGTGATAAATGCACTTGTACATTCAAAGACAAGTATGCTCTCCAAAGACATAGTCTTGTGCATAATCCTGTAGAGCGGGAGAAGAAAGCCTCACATTTGTGTGAACAGTGCGGCAAGAAGTTTTTGTCTTGTAGCAGTTTACGTTATCATCTGACAACTCACATGAACAGCAAACCTTTTTCTTGTGAGGTGTGCAGCAGGACCTTTTCTCGACAAAGGGATATGATAAAACATGCCACCATTCATGAAACTGATACTGATTTCAAATGTCCAGAATGTGATGAAACATTCCAGTTAAGGAAACAATTGCTATTACATATTTCAAGACATCATCCCGAGGAAGAAAAGATACACCAATGCAAGATATGTTTGAAAATTTTTAGTCGAGATGATACATTGAAATGTCACATGAAGAGACACGAAGGAACTGCTTATCAGTGTAACAAATGTGACAAGATATTTGACAGGAAATCCAACCTTAAAGTGCATGAGCTTACCCATGTCATGACCAGTGATATTCAGTGTCCGTACTGTCCAATGAAAGTTAGATACAAAAGAAGTCTGGTCAGACATATTTCCAGGAGGCATAAAAATGTGGTCCAAGATGAATCTCCATTGCAAAGCAGTTTGTCAAAGGCAAATTCTGAGCACCAAAGTTCTTCAGTAGATGAAGAAGAGAAAAATTCCTTAAATGAGTACTATAGTGAAGCAAATACAACACTCTCTATTGAGACTGATGATGTCTCAAATGATGAAAACAGTACATATTTATCTCAGTATGAATATACTGCAGATGATGATGATTCATTTCTTGAGCAAGATTCTCCATCTGATGGGCCCAAATATGCTACTGACAATGAAAAAAGTTATTCAGGTAGTGTGGTTCAAATTGATGGACCTTCCACACCTCTGTCACTTGATAGGAAACCAGAAGAGGGTATTCATTCAGGCAGTGATTTAGTAGCAATGCAAGACACACCAAAATTTACACATGTGAAGGAAGAGAGTAACTCATCAACAGATGAGTACTCAGACTATTAATACGATGAAACCTTAAACACTGAATAAAAAGTAACTATGATGTTAAATATGTAGCCCAATTTACATTAATCATGTTAATTGATATCAATATTTATTTCATCTTGGTTTATTTAAATAAAATTAATATTAGACATACCTTCTCTGTGTAAAAATCTGTTTAATGCATTTACAATGTATATATGTTTTTTATAAACATATGTGAATTACAATAGTTTTTAGTTCCTTTTGGTAAGCATTTAAAGTGTATTGCAGTATATTTTTAATCAATTTTGTACTCATGTATGTACATTTAATAATAGTACACATGAGTTTCATAAAATATTGTTAATGTTGAGACTAATGAATGGGGTTGATATATGATAACCAAAAGAGAAAGATATTATTTTCTGTAAGAGTAATTCAATTGCCTTTGCATACAAATATACACATATTTCATTCCAGATATTAAAAAAAACATAATGCTGATATTTTAGGAAAATCCCCATTCATATATATCATTTAAACTGTTGATTTGCATATTTAGCACCATGTGTAAATATGATCAATATTACCATAATTACTGTTTTATTTTCATTCTCCACAGGAGCGATAATACTTAAAATGACATGAAAGATGAATTAAAATGTATCTGTAAAGATTTTTTTTTTTAGATGTACATGTCTATCTATTAAAAGTTTTTTCGTTACCGATACAGGTCAAATAAATAGTAAAGGCTCTTCATTTAGTTGTGGATACAGATTTGTTAGAAGTTATGACCCATGGGGGGGGGGGGACAAAGTCCCAAAAGGGGGCCAAGGCATATAACATGGGAATCTATATATTAGAAATCTTCAAAAATCTTACCATGAGAACGGGGCTAATGTTATGTGTTCCCATGTATATGAGTGTGTAGACTCAGGTGATCAAAGCATGACCTCAGGGACTAAGTTGGGACCACATTGGGAAACAGTTTAATATCATCTGCAACAATAAAAAGCTACAAGTTGTAAAGTTGACAGGAAGCCCTAATAGCAGAACCCTGTATGCTGTAATTAACTGAAATTGTTGAAATCAATGTAACCCTCAACTACATGCAGTATTTGTATAATGTCTAATCAACAAAGACTTTTGAGGCTCTCTACCACCCCACCCCCTACTTTTTGAATTTATTTTTTTTAATCAGATATTTATATATTGACCTCACCCTTTACCAATCTCTGTATACAGATATTGTTTGTTTTGTTCTTTCACTGCTGTGACCAGTTGTAAGTTTTTGATGGATGTTGTTAACCTTTCATGTTTAATATTTATTGGAAATATGTGTATATGATGTATGTGTGTTTATTGGAAATATGTGTATATGCTAGCAAATAATGAAGTTAATGGATGCTTCTATTGCTCATACGAAGTATAGTCGAAGGATATCTAGATTGTGATTAGCTTGTGCATCAGTAATTTTCATTCCAAGTTTCTATGCAGTGTTGTAGAACTTAAAAAAAACATTCTAAAAGAATGATATGAATGGATAATTTATTAAACAAGTTTCATTGAACATACGTATAATAATGAAGATGTTGACTGTTGTAGATATTTATTATATATGACTATAATATGAGTTGTACAGTTTTAAAGCTATTCTTCATAGAAGAGTAAATATATACATGTATCATGTCACAATTTTCCTTTATCGTACTACATGCATGACATTAAATTTTCTGCAGATTGAAAATGTTTTGTTTATAGTTATTTGAATAATATTTATGTGCGATCTTTACTTTTTAATGAGCAATTTTTAAATTCTTCATTTTTTTTTTGTTGAAAGAAATATTTAATTACCCTTGTATTATAAACATGGAATAAATATTATAACCATGCTTTCTGTCGTTTCAACTTATCATTTTTAGTTTCTATTTGAAATTCAATTGTAATTGTGCTTGTTACGTGTATATTCAGTAAAGAATTCTCTCTATTTTCTCTGTATAGAGAAATGGCTAGGCAACATAATTGATATTAGCTACTCCAAAAAAGTATTGAAATCACTTAATTTTAATTATTGACCAGCAAAGAGATTTTTTTTTTGTTAATTTTGATTTTGATTAATAGATTGATTTATTGTGACGTAATGATACAATTGTACCGTAAGAACGAAAAAAAAAAGCAACACACTCATGGCAAGATCATAGCTAAAACTACAATCAGATTTCATGCAGATAATGCATTGGTTACAAATTATTTATTTAAATGAATTTGTTTCCAGTGATTTGTTGGAAGTTAATGACACTTTTTTTTATTGATTTGTTCTGGTTTTCATAACAAAACAATGATTGGCTGTGTTTTCGGGAAGCATTGATAATATTAGCCCTCTTGGGATTAAATATTGCCCTCTTCTCAGCGTCGGGCAATTTTTCATCCCGTGGGAGCTAACATAATTAGTGTTGCTCTCATCCTCAGTCAATTCTTGTATATAAATAACTTTGGAATCAAGCTTTGGATTTTTAGCTCTTCTGAGCCAAAGGCTCAAAGAGCTAATGCTATGGCCATTTGTGCGGTGTGCGTAAACTTTTTAGAATATGGGTCATAACTCAAGAACCCCTTGGCCAATTATTGTCAAATTTGTCACAGGATATCCTTGGCCCAAGGGCTCCCGTTTATACTAAAACTAGGGTTGTGACCCTTAAACAAAAGAGATAATTAGGAAAATAGAAACAAAAGTATTGGTTTCTAAAAAATATTCTCGAGAACCACTGAGTAGATTATCACCAAACTTACAAAAAAGGATGAGGATATATTGTAGATTAAAAATTGTTCAAGGCATCACCCTGGGGCAAAGGGCGTGGTCTCAAGGTCACTTCAAAGTTGACTAAAAATTACATTTTATCAAAATGTTATTTGCTTACTATAAGGACTAGATCATCAAATCTTGTCAGTTGATGCATCTAAGGACCTCATATCATGTTGACTCAAAAGTAGGTTAGGGTGACCTACTTTTTAAATTTTGTGGCCATTCTTTTTCAAAATGATTTAGAGGCATATTCTGAACAATTTAAGGCCTATGATCATCAAACTTTGTCACTTGATGTATCTTGGGTCCTTGAAGTACATCGACTAAAAAGTAGGTCACCTTGACCTACCTTGACCTACTTTTTGAATTTTATGGCTAATTTTTTTTCAAAACAATTAAGATCATTAATTCGAATACTGAGAGGTTTAGAATCATTAAATCTTGTAAGATGATGCATCATGGGGCCATAAAACATATTTATTAAAAAGTAGGTCACAATGACCTACTTTTTGAACTTTGCAGGCATGCAATTTCAAAGCATTTTGGAGGCATTATTTGGACATTTTAAGGCCTATGATCATAAAACTTTGTAAGTTGATGCATCTTGGGTCCTCGAAAAATGTCAACTGAAAAGTAGGTCACCGTGACCTACTTTTCAATTTATATGACTATAATTAAATATTTTGGGTACTAATTGGCTTAGAATCATCAAACTTTGTCAGTTGATGCATCTTGGGTCTTCCGAGTGGGTCGACTAAAAAGTAGGTCACTGTGACCTACTTTTGAAAATTAATGACTTTAAATTAAATATTTCGGGCTTAGAATATCATCAAATTTTGTCAGTTGATGCATCTTGGGTCCTCAGAGTACAACAACTGAAAAGTAGGTCATTGTGACCTACTTTTGAATATTTATGGTTTTAATTAAATATTTCGGGTACTTTTTGGCTTATAATCATCAAACTTTGTCAGTTGATGCATCTTGTGTCCTTGGAGTACGACAACTGAAAAGTAGGTCACCGTGACCTACTTTTCAATTTATATGACTATAATTAAATATTTTGGGTACTAATTGGCTTAGAATCATCAAATTTTTTCAGTTGATGCATCTTGGCTCTTCGGAGTAAGTCGACTGAAAAGTAGGTCACCATGACCTACTTTTGAAAATTTATGGCTTTAATTAAATATTTCAGGTACTAATTGGCTTAGAATCATCAAACTTTGTCAGTTGACACATCTTTGGTCTTTGGAGTATGACAACTGAAAAGTAGGTCACCCTGACCTACTTTAGAAATTTTATGGCTTGATTTAAATATATCAGGTACTTATTGGCTTAGAATCATCGAACGTTGGGACTTGATGCATCTTGGGTCCTCAAAGTATATTATCTGAAAAGTGGGTCACTATGACCTACTTTTGAAATTTTATGGTTATAATTTAAAAAATTTTTAAGGTATTAATTGGCTTAGAATCATCAAACTTAGTTGATGCATCTTGGGTCCTCAGAGAATGAAAGTGATAAGTAGGTCACCATGACCTACTCTCAGGTACTAATTGGCTTAGAATCATATTGGGTTTTCAGAGTGTTTCATCTAAAATGTAGGTCATGATGACCTACCTTTGGAATTTCAAGGGTTTATCTTAATATACAGGATACTTAGAGGCTTCAAATTGAAGTGATAGGTTGTACAGTTTATCAGAAGAGCGATTCAAGGCCCTTTGGCCTCTTGTTTAAGACACACAAATGGAAGTGAAAATTATGCACTGCCAGTAAATAATGGTGTAAAAATACCTTAAGATTGTTCTAAAGGAGGTCGACTAGGGTTTTCATTGTGCAAAACTTCGCACAGCATAGTAAAATTAAGCTTATTTACAATTATTTTCACAAAATTTATCTTCACATGTACCGTATATACTCGCCTATAAGTCGGTTTTTGGCGAGTTAAACTTTGGTTCAAAACGCTTTGTCCAAATTATAGGTGAGATATAAAACGATTGGTATTTTAGAGGGTCAGTCCCTCTAATATAAGCATAAAAATACAACCGACTTATAGGCGGACCGACTTATAGGCGAGTATATACGGTACTATTACTTTCCTAGTTGACCTACCAGCGTACGTTACTGGATCAATCGTTTGTATATGTAACGCATACATCTAGGGACTTATATAAGAAGTTTTGAATTTGATAGTACAGCTTCTAACTCACCTGAGTCGAAGGCACAAGTGAACTTTTCTGACCAAAATTTGTCTGTTGTCTGTCGTCGTCGTTGTAAATTTTTCACATATTCATCTTCTGATGAAGAACCACCGAGAAATTTCAACCAAACTTGTCACAAAGTATTTTTGAGTAAAGGCGATTCAAATTTGTTTAAATGAAGGGCCAC